ATCTCAAGACACGAATGTATGTTGTGCGTATGTATTCATTGAGAACAATATGCGTATAGATATATACTCTGTGTGAATTATGTATGATGGGTGTAGAATTTCCAAAAGACGAATAACTGCTAAAAAAACGCAAGAAAAGTAACTTGTAAATAAGGTTGAAATGTAATGTAGTGCAATCAACACTTGTAATGTTGGTTGTGTCATGCAGAAGCGATCTCATTAAAAGTGGAGCTAGTACTGTTATTTAAATGGACTAAGTATTGTGGGATAAGTAGTGAAGGTAAGATGGGTTAAAGTAAAATCAGTATCGTTATCAATAATATATAGTTGTATGTTAATGTGATAAGTGATGTTATGTGATGTAAGTTGCTTGGTAATTTAGAATAAGTAGCGTTAATAACATAATGTAATAAACAGTAAAGTTAAAAAAGTATTAGTGTGATTCGTGTGAAAAAACAAATAAATCTTAATAATAGAGGAATATAAATTTTTAACTATGTTCCTTCAATTGGTTTCAGTACCAAGAGCTTAGAATTTAAGAAAATTAGGCTTTAAGATTCTTATTCAATCACATCATGAACGAAATACTATATCATGTAGTTGTTGAAATACTAGAGCAATCTGAGGGGCAAAAATCGTGTTTAATTTGGTTGTTCGATAAGTCTCTAAGATTTTTATTGATTAGTCTATGTGAAACTCAAGAAGCAGATTGAGAAAAAAAAAATTAATTTTGGAACATATCATTAGGATTTTGTTTCAACCAAAGTCCTAATGCATAGGCCCGAAAATCTTTGATATAAAATTGTCAACGTTTGGAAGTATACCTTTTAATTTGTTTCAATACTCAACTTCACAACACTTAAGCTCAAAGAGTTAAAACGTTTAAACTCAACAAGGGTTCAATTTTTTAAGAAACTATGACTATTAAAATTTTCAGAAATCTTGATAAGAATTCTGGGAAAAATTCAAGGAATGATAGTTCAAGGAGCATACTGATAATATTTATGTTAATTAATTGTGTTTAAATTTGATTTAGTGAAGAAAAAAATTGACCCGCCTCGATTAGCATTTGCTATCTGAGGCTAAAAGAAATAATAAAAAGTGAAAAATTTTGTCGGAAGGGATAAGACTTTCAACAACTGGGGCTTTATCGCAGGAGGTCGTAGTGTAAGAAATCATCGGACCCTAAACTTATCGAAGATCTTAAACGAAATTCCGTAACTTAGTTTTGAGAAATGTTAATTCCTGAGTATCTTAAATTGTGTTTAGCCTCAAAAGACGGGACATCTAGGCTTCAGGTTGACCGAAATTTGTCATCAAATGAACGCCTTCTTTAACATCTCTTTAACACCGTGTCTATCATCTTGGCATCTGATGAAACAGCAAGAGGATACCTTTCAAAAAACTTCGCTGGCCTGGTATCTGTTATATATGTAAAATCAGCGCTCGATTAAGCGCAATTTTTCATTAAAAAACGACGATTTTTTGAAGGTTTGAATAAAGACTTAAAAAAAATTCAACTTCTTGAAAACAAAGCAAATAGTCCCAAAGGTAATCTATTGTTTGTGCTATTGTTTTCTTCTAACAAAGGACTGTATGCATAATGAAGTATGGGGCTGTGCGGAAACTTTGCCCAATTATTCTCCAATCTTAAAGCTTGAAGATAATTTGATAGTCCTAACTGTTGCTATGGTAACTTGGTATGTCAGATAGATAGTCATTAAAAAAAGGACAGTAATGACAAGGTATTTCTTTCACACCCTTGAAACAGATGAAATTAAAAGTCTTCTTGACAGAAATAATTCATCAAACAAACACTGATGAAAACAATTGAGGTTGCCCCAATCAGACACAGATCCAAGAAATTAGGCAGTGAAGAAATTGATTCATGTCTTAGTTCCAGTTTTTCTTCATTATTTACCGAATTCGTTAAGATTGTAATCATTCGCTAAATCCGGGCTAAATCGCTCAACGTAGAAATATAGGTTCGAACATACCTAGGTGCTTTTCATTCTATATACCAAAGGTCAACTTTCAGATAGAAAAAAATCATCCAGAGCCACCACATTTCCTCCAACAAATTTAATGTCTTTTAGCCTCATTGAACAAAAGCATCAAGAAATTTCATTTTGATGACCTTCCAGGCATTCGAAAACAAAAAGTGTGATCAATTGAGAATATGTAACCTATCTTACTTTGACTACTGGCCTTTTAGCTTAAAACTGTCTGGGTATTTGACAAACTTATTGCTGCTATGGTTAATCGATAACAATTTTTTTTTGCTTAACTTTTAACCTAAGTTTTATTTACAGGCTTAGATGCTGATCAATTCGTTACAGATATAAAAACCAACCTGATTAGATGTTATCCTTTTTTCTGTCCTCTCTTCATTTCTTGATTTCCAAGCTGGTCCATCTTGTGCTTGACTCTGTCGTAACTAAAGAAGGAAAGTACCGTGTAACTATTATTCTTTGCATACCTTTCTTTAGATAAGTAATTTTTTTATTGTTAATGATAAATATCAATGTCCAAATGGAAATACTCAATTGAAGCCACCACCTTATATATCGACAAATAAAAAATATTTAATGGATTTAAAAATAAAAGGACATTTTACTTGAAGGACTTTGTTATCAGTCTATGACAAAACCAGCGATCACCTAGCTAACTTTGATTATTGGCACCTTGCCCTGAAATAGCATTATATTGGTATTTGATGAGCTTCATTGTTGCTATCGTAGTTTGGAAACTTAGACAAGGGCGTTGAAAACACACTTTAGGTCAAAACTCTGTAATCATAAAAACTAGTTGAAAAATATGTACAGGATCATGAAGAAAGAAGTAAATAAATAAGCGATAAGTACACCAGTGATAAAGTACGAATTTCTCTCGCTACGAATTTCTTAAGTTAAGTTCAAGAAGAACTGTCATGGCGGCTGCCACAAAGGATGTTTCCTACACTTTGTTCTGTGTATTACAGTTGACTCGGTAAATTAATTTTACAGTGGCCACATCAATAAAGATAAACACTGCATCTCTATCCAAATTTATCTTCCCATCATGAGATAGGTTACTTACCTGGAGAAAAGTCGTGAGAAAAGTGAAAAGCATGAATCCTCGACAAGGTATCTAAATCACTTGGTCCAGCATAAGAAATATTCGCCGACATGGAGACAACGGACAATATCCAAGATAATACGTTCAAATTACGATTTTCTTACTACATAGAAGCTAAAACGACGCTCAAATTTCTTGAAGTTCGTAAGCTCTGGCCACGTGCAAAACTGAGCGAAATATGAATTATTAATTTGAAAATTATTTGTAATTTAAATGAGTTTTCCCACTTAAAAGGCGGGTTTAAACAATCGACTCCGAATTGTTCGGTTCATCCGTTATATATCGAAGTAGGATGCCCCGCTTTACAAAAGATTTTCAACATAAAGAAGTCTAGTAGAAAGCTGCAACTAGTGTTCAGGTTTATGAAAAGTTAACCCGAACCTTAATGAACTTGGACTTAAAATGTTATGCTTGAACAATATTTTTAAAGTCATTACAGAAGCACATAACCTTGGTTATATGCTTCTGGTCATTAACTATCGGTTAACCACGCTTCTCTATACATCAATCTATTTTTCTTTTCCATGGGAATTTCGAGTTAACGAGGCGCTGGCAATTTTCAACGATTTTGGTACAGTATATTTTAAAAATAAAACGGGAATGATTAAGTTCGTAAAAGTATGTTTTACATTAGAAATAAACTCTCTAAAATAACAACCTTTTTTTCAAATTGTTGTTCATAGCCGTTATTACTCATGTATCCTTTGATGGCATTTAAGTGCACCACTTTAAGAAAGTGATCAAAACCTTAAAGCGCACCTTCATATTGAGACTTTTTCTGCTCTCCTAGAGGTCGCTGATGAAATGAATTATTTTTTACTCGCAAAAAAAATACAGTGATCTCCTTCGAGGTGCTTGTGAACAAGGTATTGACGATACCATATATAGGGAACTGTCGTGCACAGCATAAAGGATTCGATTTCAATCTAATCTGATAATACCACACTGATTTGAGAAGTTTATTTAATTCGAAAAACGTTTAAGCTATTATGAGAAAGAGCATAAGAGAAGCCCTGCCCACCGACGTCGTAACTAATTATGCTAATAACTAGATCAAAATTCTATTTTAATCATGACAATCTTTACACATAAGCGTCAAATTAAGATCAAAATATTAGATAAGGCTTTGAATGCAGGTAGATTTAATATCTTACCAAACACTGCTTAAACATTTATTGCATTTTTGATTTGCTAACCGCTCAGAAAACCAAATAAAAACTCAGATAAAATATGAGGAATGTACTGTGTCATGTTATGTAAATATGATGAATTCAAAGTAATTCTGATTGTGAAGGCAGATAGTGCCAATGGCTTTTGACAAATCGCATTCTCTTTCTTTAGAAAAATTTTTATAAAAATAACTTAAGTTGGCGAATATCTAAAAGAAAAACGGCTCTTCTTTTCAATTTGTTTAGTTTAATTCTTAGCTTTTATTAATAATTGATTACTTCCCTTCTTTTGGCCATGAGGAATTAAACAAAACCTCTTGAATTAATGAAAAAAAACCAAACTTCTGCTTTCCTTCTCCATGAAACGAAACCGCAAACGTCACCGGCAAGAAATGCTTACGTTGACGTCAACTTTTGTCCTCGTCCGCTAGACAAAATGTCTGCATAACACATAATAACACAAAATAATTATTGTATTATCATCCTAAAACGTTAAATCAACACCAGTTTCGGTATTTTTTTTTCCGTACTTCCTCTTAAATTGCCTTCCGGCGATACTGGCCCTGTTACGTTCCCCTTTAAAACATTTATTGTTGACTTACTCTTGCATTGAATTATTCAGTGTATATAAGTTGTGAAAATCACGCGTGGCTTTTAAAAAACGTCACAGCATCTTGACTTATCCGTATCAAGAGGATTTGGTCGAAGCAGAAAGCATATTTTCATCGCTTACCTACTCCTCAAGGCTTTGTTAAGTTCAGAGCCCTGAAACCTCTTTTCACCAATGAGAGCCATTCAAGCTTTCCTATGTTCTGTCTGTCTGGTCCTGACTGATTTTATTCAGCGAGTAGACCTAACTCAAGAAGACAAACCATCAATTGGTAAGCCAGTTTTTACACCAAACTCATAGCTTACATTTCGTGGAGTGGGCTTTCATAGTTACTTGAATTTAAGTTCGATGTAAGGGATAAGTAAAATTAATTCATCTTAAAAGGTTGGAGCTCACCTTATGAAAAAAATGATACCAAGATAGGTTTTTTAGACGGAAGTTTATTTTTACACGCACTTTTCAAATTCATGAGTTTTATAAAACGTCTTAATAAACTGATTTATTCTTTGAGGAAATCATACTTTCACATGAAATACGTTTTTTGTATGCATATATTCCTTACAAGTTCGCTAATAATTTTTCAACGACGAGGATTTGTATTATCCTCTCCGGAATAAAATTACTTATTGATAGAACAAATTTCGACACATCCTCTTGAGTTTGTTTTGCTTTGACACGCCTTAAATGGAATTATTAACCAATCAGACATGGCCAATTGCTTCTTCTTGCGCTTAATGACAGGTTCGTGGCTTCGTATCCTGGTAATATCTACCACTGATCTGATTTACCGTTTTGATTACCATGATTGAGTTTCAATACACTTTCAAAGAACATTCGTTAGTAGGGGGATGCCAATTGAGAGAAAGGATTCAAGATGGGCCCTATATTCGGAGAGAAAGGATTCAAGATGGGCCCTATATTCGGAGAGAAAGGATTCAAGATGGGCCCTATATTCGCCTACTTCCGCTCAAATTCCCCTGAAAGTAGCTCCAGCACTCCTAATCAAAGGCAGTGTAGTTCTATCATGGTCTGCGTGATGCTACTGTACATCCACTGTGGTTTGCTTTCCGTCCGCCTTTACATCGGAGTTATGCACTACATACAGAGTAGAAGGCAAATTCAGATTGATGTTCGGCTCCAATCTTGGCATCTAAGTCTAAGATCAAGAATGAATTTACCTCTGCGCGAATACTGGCTCACAGAAAAGAATGTGTGGTGTAACTGCAAATATCACTTAAGCTAACGTTAATTTGTTGCTTCTCAGGTGCAGTTTACCACCCAAGAGATGGATCTATCGCCAAGATGCTGGAGGAAGTCATTAACAAGTCTACATGTCAAAGAAATTTTGACTCGAAATCAAACGATGTATGCATTGATGTGATATTGATCGAGATTAATTCTGCAAAGGACCTGTTGATATATGGTATGATGAACTAGTAATGATGCATGCATATGTGCAGCTCGACAGATGTAATTCGATGATTTGTTTAGTTATGAAACATGCTACATTGTAAGTAGACAGTCATTTGATTAAGCAATCAAATAAGCCAGCTTGTAAATCATGATGTTAAGGGTAGATAGAACGATTCCTAAAAGAGTTGAGTGGAAATCTTGGTAATGGTGGCAGTAGTATTGGTAGTAGTAGTGGTGGTATGGTGGTAGTAGTAGTAGTAGTAATAATAATAATAAGTGGTAGTAGTAGCAGCAGCAATAGTAGTAGCAGCAGCAGCAGTAGTAGTAGTAGTAGCACTGAGTAGTATTAAAAGTTATTATCTCATAAATAGTTTATTTTTTCTCTTTAGAAAACTTAAAGAAGATGAGTTGTGCAATAGCAATCTTCGACTTGTCATTTGGTGATCACTACTCGTTTGCTTTTGCTGAGGTGCTCACCATTCCGTTACTGAGCTTCAAACCTGTCCTTCAGGATTTTTCAAGTGATTTTTTCTACTCAGCACTGCCATCTTACGAGATGTATTCCCGTGCGATGGTGGACCTGCTTGATTTCTGTATCGGTAAAGAGAGCACTCCAAGAGAGAAAGTAGCGATTGTGTTTGAAGGTTAACTTTTAACTTTTAACATGCATTACGAATTCTTGTACTGTTTCCTTTGCAGATGGTCATTAACTTGAATTTTTTAAGTAATCTATGCTGGATCCCTCTGGTTACTGGCCAAAGATAGCTCAAAATGTACACTCAAGCCTCACGATATCGATCAATGATTCATGAGGCAGGGTGGCTGAGTGATACACGAGGCTAAGTTTGTAGTCTGTTGATCCCAGGTTCAAGCCCTCCCCCCTGCTACTCACTGGATTTGTCCTCAATCACCCCGAGTTCAATTCCTTGGCTGCACTTTGTATAGGTCATAGCCAACTCGTCTGCCTCAAACTAGTTAGAGATTTAAAAACTCCTTTTTTATTCAACGTTTCAATTTGTTCTTATTGACGCTGAAAAACCTAGTTGAAGGACTGTTTAATCAGTTTATATTCCTACGTTGTCAAAAAATCAATGGGGTCTGTCTTAGTCGGGGGATTTTAAGAAATACATACGTGTCTGTCTTTGTCAGGGTATTTCAAGTAACCCTGTGGGAAAAGGAGAAGAGAGAATAGATAGCTCTCTCAGGGCCTTAGCGTGGCTTCTCCACATCTAATTAAGAAAGTGTTATTATTCTTCAACAACCATAACAATTCGTCCAATTTTTTCAGCCGATTACTCTGCTGTAGCTACCCAGGTTTACTCAATAGCTCGTGAAATGGAAAAGTTTAGAGTTGAAGCTATTCCTGAATTAAAAGTTAACGACAACAGCCAGCTGCAGCGCGCCCTCGAAGTTCTGCCCAAAGTGCGAGCAAACTACGTTCTGGTTATTTGTAGACCCGAGAATCTGGCCACTATTCTTGAGATGGTAAGTGTTGTGTTGGCTGTGTCTGTTGTTAAGTATGTGTGCTCATTTCATTTGAGCTTTAACCCTTCTGACACCTTCATATCAGTATGCGTATTCTTCATACTGTTTTCTATACGTTTCCTTTCCTCTGACAAGGAGAATTTCTTAGGGTGCGGACAAGGAAAATTAAGAGCTTCTCTGCTTAGAGATCATTTCCTTAATGTTTTATTTCGGGGTTATACTAAAATGAGAAATTAGCCAAATTCTCCTGTTGGCTAGGCCGAAGCAACATAATAAGCAAAATTATTTCCAATCACGATGTTAGGTTTAGGCTCACTTCAGTACATCCGTAATCAATTCATGTAAACATTAAATTATTTTTTTATGTGTTCCAGTCACTACGTCTGGGAGCTATAAACAAAGATTCAAGATGGTTTACCTTCAACATGGTATGAAACATTTTTTTCAACTACCTGTGAAAACCAGAGTACCCAACAAAGTCTTTTGTCGAAAATGTTTTGCCTGTGATCCAAACCCTATTCCTTTTCACTGTCTTCTTTGACCATTTTTGACCGATAAAGCTTCTCTATGTACCTGACAAATCATTATCCTTTTCTTTCCGTTACCTTGCAACGCAAAAGAAAACGAAAGGAACGCGCTTCTCCTAAGATGTTCTTTACAGAAAAATGTGTGCGCAGTATCCCACAACAGAAACTCAGATACCAACATGCTTTTATCTTATTCCTTCAGGACTTTAAAGGTAACATATCGAAAAGTTGTTTTAAAGGACTTGTTGGGCTCCAGGTGAACCTGACAGATATCCGAAAGGCTACAGATCTGAAAAGGAAATTCCAGCTCGAGAGTAACACCAACCAGATTTCAGAGGTAACTTATATTTCATGCCAAGCGTTTTGTAAGAATAATGTATAAATCACTATTGTTATGGTTTTTTTTATTTTTCATATTAAATACAGAAGTAGTTCTTTCCATGGAAATTGATTAATCTCAAACCAGTAAGAACAAAATATACGTGCATGAGCAAGGCAGTTCCAAAATCATATTGTAGCATGTATGCGTAGCAAGGAAAAATAAGGAAAACATCCGGTAGTTTCTCTGACATAAAGTAACTCTCCAGAACTCGTTATTTTCATTGAAAATGCGGGTATAGTAAATGAATGACATCAGATTTTATGACGGGAGGAAATTTTCTAAAAATATATAATTCACAGTCCTTGGATCCACAAAATTTCGTCAAATTCCTAGCCTTCCGTTTAGTCATGTTACTCCCATGCACAGAAATCAGGATAGCGTGAGATTGACCCTGTTTGACCTTAGCCCGACTAGCACCCTCGCTCTACCACCTAGAGTTGTTTGTAGTCGCACCACCTTTTCCCTCCGCAAACAACTCAAAATCGAACGCTTCAAAGCTCCACAAATTTAGTGCATATATTAAAGGGGATTTTCAAAATCTCATCACTGTTACAAACCAGTTCAAAAAAGCAGGGCTGGTTAGAAATTTCACTGTAGTTCCACATCCATAATCAGTTCACACACGCACAATGAACGACCTTTCGCCATCAGCAATTTTTGCACTGAAGAATGTGGATTGTAATTATATTGGCCCTAATACAGAAGTTACCTATTATTAGCAATCTCTTTGGCTTATGAAAGGGTAAGGATAAAAAAATTAGAAAATAGAGGGCCATCTTTCAATTAACCCTTTCAACCCTAACATCAGTATGCATAATCTCCATACTGTTCCCTATACATTCCCTGAGGTGCTGATGAGGAGAATTTGTTTCATAATCTACAACTTCTCTAATTAGTGACCATCTCCTATATTCTCATTACTTTCATGTGTGATGCGGGGTGATATTGTAAGGAGAAATTAGACGCTAGTCACTTTTAGGTACTAAAGGGTTAGTGCTGGCGTTTGCAGTAAGCTTGAACCTAATCGAATCATTAAAATCATGGCTCACTTATCATCTATATCATTCAATTTTCTCAAGATCACGTATGCATTGGTCAATGATACAATTTACGCAGTCGTAGAAGCCTTTAAGCAAGATACGAAAGGGATCTCAAGACACCTGAGAGACTGTTTCGCAGATGGGTATAGAATTGAAGATAGTAGTAAAAAACTGCTCAACAATCTAAACGAGAAGGTAAGCAAATGGCAATTCTTGCAATTATCTTTCGCAAAAGTATTTGTGAAGGTTCTAGATTTTATTGACCAAACAAAAAATTCTCTAGATGACAGATGTTACCCCTACTAAAGTGGTAAAGAACGGGAAACGTTTCCGTCTCTCTTTACACCCTAACATCAGTATGCAAGTTCTCCAAACTGTTCCTTATACATTTTCTATTGCACTCACAAGGACAAGTTTTACGACAATCAATAGCTTCTTGAGTTCGCGATAATTTCCTATATTTTCAAGACCTTAACGTGTGATTCAGGGGTGATACCTTTGGGAGAAATTAGATGCTTATCACTCCTAGGAGTGGAAGAGTTAATCGCGTGATGTACAATTAAATGATCGAATGTCATATCTCGTTCGCGTGTGAGATCAGATTTCTATACCTTATTAGACGTTTTGGTGTGTAGTATCGCTGAGTATTTTTACGAGCTGTGCCGTATTTTGATCAGCCCAATAATAATAAATTATTTATGATCCAACTGCTTTTTTCTGCTAAGTCTTACTGCTCGTTGCTCATAAGGCGGGAAAAGTAAAGCGGATAGAAAAGCGTGGCGCGCGCAGCCGACCGGTCAAGTAGGTTTTGTCTACAGCAAAAAATAACCAACTGTCCAAATAACCGTATAATATATATCGCAGGATATTTATACTCCATTCGCGCGTCATTTGTACTGTACTTTTTGCAGTTGCATAATAATGTAGAATATTAATTCCCAGAATACATTTTCAGGTAAAGTTGTGGGGAATTACCGGGTTAGTGGACTTCGATAACAATACAAGGAGCAGACTTGTGGAGAGGTTGGATATAATAAATGTTCAGGTGCGGGGAGATGACGACGGTAACACAGAGTCCGCATTGGTCAACGTAAGTCCGTTTAACAATTGTCTAGTGAGTGTTTTACCATAGAGAATTTTAGAGGTGGCACTTTGAAAACAGTAAGGACAACGTAGCCTTTTGCTCCAGGTCTACAAAACAGGTAGCTACCCTACGTGTAATTATTTCCTCATTTACAACTCTATCGCAACTCTATTTTTTCTACAAGCTTATTAGTTCGATGGAATGTAAAGCAACATAGTTATATGTACAACTTCCAATTAAACCAAAAAAAAAAAAGGAACACGACAAAGAGCCATTAAGAACGGGTAAACTATCTGGAGCACGTGAAACGCGGATGAATTTGTATCTGTTGATTGAGAGGGAAGAAAAAGTTTTCTTAGATCAATCGCCGTCAACCTCCGTCGGTCTGTGATGACCACGGAGGAGATTCCTAGTTGTCTGCTTTATTACAACGGCGCTGCCTATCATCGAACAGGCTGAATGTGCGAATGGTAATCGCAGACGCACAGACGCACAACTTCCTTTTTTCCTGCTGGTCCGCTTCTCTTCCGCTGTACTGATCAGTCTTTCTCCTTCTGACTTCAGTTGTCTGGTCAGAGTACTTCTTCATCTGAAACGGTCGGTTGCGAGATCACTGAGCAAAATAAAACACAAAATGGGCAATTTTCACTAATCAGCAAGCAATCATTGAATTAATAATTTGAAACTAGTAAACTACTAATGTTGTTTCTGAATGGTTTGAGCAGGTTGGTCATTGGAACGCAAACAAAGGAAACACAGTTAACAAAGCAGTGCAACTTGACAGCTTGGAGGACTCTATCGACTGGACTGGGGATTTCTGGGAGGAATTACAATGTTTAGTGCAAAACAAGAAAAACAGGAAGAAGCCTTTGGAAGGACGTGTGCTCAAAATTGTTACTATAGAAGTAAGAGGGAGATAAAATAGGATAAACATTAACTCGAACCGTTGTGAGAGTAAATTACAAGTGAATTCGTATACAGCAGTAATAACATTTATGACTATGACTGCAACGACAAAAAAGACGAGAGTGATGTTTATCAACGATTGCCAGCGGCAACTATTATCAGAGACGGATATAGATGTTTTTGATTGAGGGGAGGGGGGAGGGGAATATCTGAACTTCAAAACCCTCTAAATATAGCCGAAATTTAGTTGTGTTTATTTCGCACTGACGCGTGTTTCATTAAGACAGCAACAACAACAAAAACAACAACCAGCTACTTATTGGTATGTCTGCGATCTTGTTATTAAAATAGTTTTGGTGTCAGACAAAAATCGTGTATAATAATATTTTTTCACGCTATAAATAATTGAATCATTCCGCAAGTCTTACTCAACATGAAAAAATCCCTTTCTAGGATTCACCGTTTTGTATAAGAATAGCGAACCAGACCGAGGGAAAGCCAAAATATGAAGGATTCAGCATCGACCTTCTTGACGCAATTCAAAGGAAAATGGGCTTCCAATATACTCTCATGACTAACAAAGATGGGAAAATGGGCTCTAAAAATCGTAATGGAAAGTGGAATGGACTGATTGGAGACATTGTTGAGAAGGTTTGATAAAATTAGTAGGAAATAATTATGCGTTTTTGTGTATCAAAAATGCAATGAAATATTTTTCCTCAGGAAGACGAAGATTCTGTTTCGCAATTAAAAATTTAGTTAAACCGCTTGTGAAAGTCTTAGAATATTTACAAGTTAATGTGCAGTTACCGTCTTTTTCCAAGGAAGACAGATTTTTACAATTAGATGAACGACTGTAAATTGCCTCCTAATTTGAACAATTATTTTTATGATGTGATTTTTTCAGAGAGCACAGGTGGCTATTGGCGCAATCACTATCTCTGCTGTAAGAGAGTTAGAGGTTGACTTCAGTAAGCCCTTCATGGATTTTAAAGTCAGTCTGTTGATGCAGAAGGAAAAGGAACAAGTGAACCTGTTTGTATTTTTACAACCGTTTGAGAGAAACGTTTGGCTCTCTACGTTGGCCGTCGTGAGTATTACTTCGCTGAGTCCAGTGGGAGACTTTGTATCACTTATTTCTGATTGAAATGAAGACGAATACACCAGTAATTTTCTCATAACGGGCAATTTTTCAAAATTGTTTTAAAAGTTTGTCATGGTGGGACTCTGAGCCAACTTACTTTCGCAATTGGTAAGCTTTTTTAATGACCCCTGAATAAAACATTAAGGTAACCAGAATAAAGGAAATGATCAGCAAGTAAAGAAGCTCTTGATTGTTAACCAAATTCTCCTTTTCAGCACCTCAGGAAATGTGTACAAAACAGAATGGAGAATATGCATACTGATGTTAGGGTGTAAAGGGTTATATAAATGAGTTTCACTGGGGAGGAGTTCTAATTTTTTACTTTTTCTTTTTCTAAAGGTAAACTAGATGCAACCTTTGTATTATTAACTGAAAAAACGCGAAAGTAAAGATTATTCAAAGCTCAAACACAAAAAACTTTTTTGCAAGCTGTAACGATTCGTTTCAGACATTTTCCTGTTGATTTAATCTTGTTACTAGGTGATAGGCATCACGTTCCTCGTGTTCTGTTTGGATCACCTCAGTCCTAATGGATACCGAGCGATGGCGGAAAGATCTGGCGAAGGAGATGGTGACGAACTCAATTTGTTCAACAGTCTGTGGTTCGCCGCTGGTTCTATTTTGCAGCAAGGTGCTGATAATACACCGAGGTCTGGCTCAGGGAGGATGCTGGCCGGCGCATTCTGGTTTTTTACGCTGATTCTAATATCTACTTACACTGCAAACTTGGCTGCGTACTTTACAGGTAATAAACAATTTAGAAGCTGCTTTGATGACGGTCTGTGCACCAGAATTGACCGTTATGTTGTGAATTCTTTCCTCCAAGAAATAAGATCGTATGCTAATCAAGTCAGAACTCATCGGTCATTACCTTCGACAGCTAATGTTCTTGATTTCAACCGAAAATCCTCTCATCTTAGATTCAGCTGTTTATTTTGCATCTGTTGGCACAAACTTAACAGTAGGGACGTAAATGGTCATTAGTTCCGCTTGTTAAGAAGTTTTTAATTGATTGTCAAAAGTGATCCGGCCGGATTGTATTGGTTTTGATTTACTTCGTTCTGTGATTGGTCTAGAAAACTCGCACCAATCTCTCCGATAATCAGATCCAAAACTAACACCGATCACGACTTGGTCGCCCGAGTTTTTTCCGCGTTTAGACAGTTTGCCTGTTTTTATTTTTAAGTCTTCATTGCTCTTCTCTCTTTCTTCTGATTCGCCTATGTAATTACTTTGGTTTGGTTTTACGGCACTCAATCGAAAAGCACTCTATACAGTAAAGTGTCAAATGGTCCTGCGTTGATTCATTCGAAGCTTCAACATCTCTCTCCCTCCCCCCGGACAATATCTCTGGCATTTGAACTTTGGAAGATTGGCTTGTTCAAATTTCCTTTCCCACTTAGCAAGAATTAAGTTCAAATGCCCCATCCATTTTTTGTAAAAAGCAAAATCAATTACTGTGCATGACTTTCTGTACATTGACCAAGCTTTAAAACCTTTACCTTGTGGACCTTCTGAGCCATGCGCTCGCGAAAGTGAACTTTTTACCCTAAAAAACTCCATTTTCAAAGATATAACATTTGTATTCCGCTGGAACTGAAGACTTGATACTTTCAGTTCACATTCCCCACCCCAGCCAGGCAAAATTCAAATTCCTGGGCATGAACTCGGGTTGCCCAGGGGGGATGCCGAGTTAAGCTTCGAATTGATTGGCGCATTATGTTGTGCGTTTTCTACTGTAATTCCTGCGAAGTTTGTCTGAAAAATGTCGTGAACTATATGTTGAACGTGGGAATGTATCACGCCCGTTAGTAATCAGTAAAGATCGTGCCCTAATTCTAAAATTTTTGGCCATTTTTTTCAGCCAAAAACACAAAAAGAAGTATTAACTCCCTGTCAGACCTGGCCAACCAGAAAGAGATTGACTACGGTGTGCTAAACGGGGGATCTCTGTACACATTCTTCAGTCAGTCCGAGGTGGAGATTTATGAAAAGATGTTCAACAGAATGAAAAGTGAAGCCACATTTGTCAATTCCACAAAGGAAGGAGTTCAAAAAGTGAGAGAGGGTGGCTTTGCCTACCTGACAGACGGACCCTACCTGGATTACTACAACAGCAGGGAACCATGTAACACAATGATGTTGGAGAATTTATTGGAGGCCAAAAGTTATGGTATTGCACTTCAAAGGAACTCAGAACTGACGAACCAATTTTCTGTCGCTATTCTTCAGGTAATTCTTAACGAGTTTTCAAATATCCTTAAGCCACCAAGACGTACTTCTTAATTCTCCCTTATAACTGATATATTATTCCTTGCAAATTAGTTGTGAGAATTTGGTGTTTTATCAAGGTATAGCACCGTCCAGCTGTTGAGTTCGAGTTACTTCATTACAGTAGTAAAACTATATACTGAAAATTTGCATTTTAATCCTTTAACTCCCAAGATCTTATTAGTAATTTTCCTTACTGTCTGCCATATAACTCTGATTATGTTAGATCGGAGCATTTGGTATTGGATCAACTAATAATCCCCTTGTTTATATTTTTCTTCGTTCTCATTACTTGTCTGCTTGATATTGTATTGATAATGTAAGGAGAAATTATGCCTTGATCACTCATGGGAGTTGAAGGGTTAATCACATTTGAAAGTACAATATATGGGTCAATGAAAACAAGAAAAAAAAAAGGGAAAAGAAAGAAAAGAAGAGGAATGAAAGACAAAGAAAAGTTACACGATGATCACTCCAGCTAGGGATGAAAAAGACACACAAAAAAAAACAGGAAATTTGGTTGTTTTGATCTGTCGTTGCTTGTTGTTCCCCAGCTCCGCGAGGAAGGTGTGGTCGACAAACTCAAAAAAAAGTGGTGGGACCGTCGCAGTGAGTGCACAGACTCCACAGTTAAAGCAAGCAGCACACCCATGAGTATCTCATTGGATCATATGGCGGGCGTGTTCATTGTCCTGGCAGGAGGGATCGTGGTGTCCGTTATGTTCCTAATGGTCGAGAGGAGGTGTAACAACCTGAGGCGGGAGGTCAACAAGAGCACGGTGGGTGCACCGGTTAATGACGGCGTCATTGTCAGGTTGAATTCTCTAACGTCTCACCGGACCAAACACACGCTGAAGCCCAAACAAAAAAAGCGCTCTTAAAAAAAAAGAAATCCTCAATCGGCACTGGTCGAGCAATACTTTCTAGCCATGCCCTGGCACTATAAACACCCTTTAGGAGCCGGCCAAAAATCGAAAATCTGACTTGACGAAATCGTTCAACATTTTAAATACAGCAGTCACTGTCTTAACGCGTTGTGACACCTAGATCAAGTATTGTTGAATTTAGCGGTGTAATAACGTTAACTTTTCACGTAAAATTGGTTTACTAAACCGGGTAAACCACATATCCCAAATCATTACTTTCTTTCCCTAACTCGAACATTTTCTTTTAAAAGTAGCTCTATGTCTTAGTCAAACAATAGTGGTTTTGCATACGCTTTTGGTGTTTTTTCGTAAGTCTGTCAGTCTATTAACCGATGGAAAATTTTCACTATGTGAGACCTCCTTTGCACTTCCAAATTTCCTTGACGTATACCCAAAATTGCATATTACTTCATTTTCTAGTCTATGGCGAGCGTAAAAGAGCAGATGGACTTACCAGTGGCGACGACTCATGCTTACCGAAGGCCATTCTCAGATCACGGAGTAGAGAACAAAACGATTAATAACATAGATAATCGAAGGAACATGGACGTGAAGGACGGAGCACGAGCGCGAGACGGCATGGGTGCTCCCAGAATGCAGTCGAGGCTTCCAAATGTTTACGCGGGGGCACCCGAGAGTAATCTGTGATTGGACACTGTGTTTCAACGGCGAATGACGTCATCAACAAGGCGTCTAGGGACTAGTTTACAACAGAGAAATATTTGTGTTGAGGCGATTCTTCTTTAGACCATTTTGAGGGAAAAGTAATTACCTTGGTCATATTTATATAGTTTCAGCTGTGATCATAGGTTAACTAAACATAATATTTGAAGGGGTGATTAGTTCCCGTAAAATTTTAAGATAATGTTATTATCAGTCAATTTATCGTTTCATTCCCCGTAATCACAGGGAAAACTAAGCCATGCAAGTAGCGCTAGCTGTATACACATAATGGTCTCTTCAGACGTAATAATGCCTGTGTTTTACTGTAAATTATATTCTTCATGTGTGTAGTTGTCTATCCTTGTCAGTGGAAAATGGCATATTACCTCCCTAAGCAGCTGGAGAGTGATTCCCGAAGGAAAGATGAAAAATATACTCGGTGGTCGCATGACAATTCAACTACTGAAATAAGCTGTTGCGAATTATTGGGATTTATCACTGTTGTGCAAATCCATTGACCTGTTTCCCACTAATAAATCATGGTACTCTTCTTGATAATTGTTCATCTTTGTTGTATTAAATTTAATGTGTAAATGGCGGTGAATCGAATGTGGACAGGGACGTACACGTACTCAAGAGTGATCCTCAGAAAATATCGAAACATAAATTCTTAGATACAAAAACACAAAGGGATAACAGATGGTGGTCATCAGAAAGTTTTCAAATCAAAACTTTTCTCTTCCTCCAACCAACCTCCCCTCCCGGGTTACAACCACTGCTTACCCTCAATTTCTGAAGCATCAAGGAGTGACCAGCAATATTGCTATTCCCGCTAGACTGACTTTGATTGGATCCTTGTCCAGTTGAGGTAAAACTCTACCATTTTTCTGGTTTACTAATCTTCATCATTCCCAGTGACTTTATAGGGGCTGTAAAGCTGCTCTATTTTAATTCAAGATGGATGTTTCAAAAGTTTTAAAAGTTATACAATAAAACTATCAGTTCAGGTAATAAAATAGAGTGGTTAGGGCGCCAGAGCCTGCCTCTCTATTCTTGAAATTTTGATTTTAAAAAAATGTCTTTAGGCCCATTAAGTTAAGAGGACTTTCAAGAAAAAGGCCCCTGGTTGGAGAGAGGAACTGCTAGAGGTAATTTCCTTGCCCCAGAACAAAATAAAATGACCTTGCCTAGCCCAAAGCCCAACCCTTTCAATTCAGAGTCCAACATTATTTCTATCACCAAATACTAAAAGAGCACTTTTGTAAATTGTGTCAATGGTTAGAAGTCTGCAACTGATCAATTAATTTAAAAACATGTTTCATCAAAATTTAATTGGCTTAAAAGAGCTCATAGCACTAAAAGAAATAAATGCAGAAAATAATTATTTCCCAACAGTCTTGTATCAAGTACCCCTTGAGTCAAATAATAAAGTCAAGAACCAAAGAATTTCTAATTACAGCTGTAGATTCAAAGTTGCCAGCCTCTTTTACTTTAAGTGATACAAACTTCATATTCCAAAGCATTTCTTTACAACTTGACCCTGAGTCAAGAACAAACAGAGTGTAAATTTGCATCAATGCACTTCATTTTCTGCACTGTTTCAATATTAGACAGTTTCATTCCTTGACTTGCTCCTGGTTATTTCCTTTCACCTATACTCTCTTTCAGTCTCTTCACAATGGCTTCTTTTTCTATCACTAGTTGTTCAAGCTCAGCAACACGGGCCTCCTAGAATTCAAATGATAACAAAACATGTGTTAACCCTTTAAACCGCAAAGGGTGATAAGCATCTAATTTCTCCTGACAGTATCACCCTGAATCAATCATTAAATAAGATCATGAGAATAAAAGAATGGTTGCAAACTCAAGAAGCTCTTGATTGTACAAAGGAAATGTGTAGAGAACAGTATGGATACCTTGCATACTGAGTAGATCAGAGTAGATCAGACACCCTTGAAAGGCTATAAAAGCCAAGCCATACAATCCCTGTGACCATTTTGTGTGGTGTAAACAACCAATAAATATACCAGTGCAATTAAGAGGAAACCTTTAAATCAACTGTTGTAAAGTTTCATGAACAATCATGTACAATCAGAAAAATATAAATTACATCAAAATACAGTCCAATCCTGATAACTCAAATCTTCAGAGGAAACTGAAAAACATTTAATTATTTACCTGTATTCCAAGCTGAGAGCAAATGACTACAAACAAGGAATATAGGTCTTAATCAAAATCATTTTTCTCCGCACATATAATACAGGTCAATCAAATTCATTACACTATGAGGTGATGGAATTGAAAATAAAGCATTTTGAAGTTTAGGATTTGAGCAGTAAGGCTTTCTGAAGATTCAGCACTGTGTAGTAATCCACAAAGTTGCTGAAAATGACAAAAATTCCCTCAGCCAGGTTCCTTAATGTATAGAAACTAATACTTGGAGTATGTTTTTCTCAACAACCTTAGTCACTTGTTTTTTATCACTTGTAGGTTTGTCCTTGTCTTTCATATTGATCAGCAAATAATTAATAATTAATTAATACCCTAATTTCTGGCTGTTTACCACCAGGTAATCAGCTCAATTATCAGTAAACGGCTGTTGCTGTGGGTAATAGGTAGGTGCAGGTTACAGTACTGCTTGTGTAAATGTTAACTGTGCAAGTGACAATTAACTGTGTAAGTGACAATTTTAAATCTACCAATACTGGCTACAACTCTTTTACAGTTATTACGGGTTGGTACAACCACTCATTAAAATACAATTCATACGAGACCATTCACCAAAAAATTCTCACTTAGATGCCATTCAAGTTTTCAAATGAATTTTATCACAGAAAGACCACAGCAACCGCAAGAAAATGTTATGCCAACACAAGTTGATTTCACCTTGCCACATTAGTAGTTGCATGGGACAAAAAATGTTTGTCAGATCACTTGTAAACAAACCTTGATGATGACAGAAATAATCCAAAGATAACAGGTGCATCAACAAAAATTTTCTCTTCAACACTACATGTAGCTTGAACTCAACAATATTTCCCTGTTCAGAGCAATTTTTTAGGGCCAAGTAGGAACCCAAGACATCAAGTTTTTTTTTTTTTATTAAATTGTAGACAATACTTCACAAGTTCCCTGTCATATCCTATTTTCTTGAGTTGAAAAATGCAATATTTTTCACTTCAAACAGGGAACAAGTAGGCTCTAGATTAAAAGAGCATTTTTTGACAGTTGAATTGACAACAATTGCATAATTGAATAGCTCTGCTTTTTTTTTCCTTGCCACCATCGCTTAGCTGAATGCTTTTCCCCCACAAATAATTTTTCACTTTTCCACACTGAATTTTGACAAAGTTTTGCTCATTTACACTTCCAATCTCTTTATTCTTTACCCTGATTAGAGCCACTGACTTTGCACTTGGCCTCATTCTTGCACCATAATTTTGGCACCGCCAGATCACTAAACTGAGAGAACTCAGAAACGGCCTATTAACCAGAGTGTTATCAGTGTACTGCTTTGTTTACGAATCAACTCACATGTCCATTGGCCTTGCATACATGAAGAAAACAAGTTTCAAGAAAGGAAATCATACTGATCCTAATTTGGCTCCAGATTTGTAACCTCTTGTCACCAGTACCTGTGCTAGTAATCTACTGCCTTTTCCTTTTTTTCTGAGTAATACTTGATATTGGTGAGCACAGGTAAAACAGCGGGGAAATTAGGGCACATGTTTGAACAATGGACTGAACACAGCCTACTGTGCTGAGTCTCAAAACATGCAAGATGGTTTTGAAAGGTTTTTTTACATGTAATGACCGGGAAGATATTAAGGTCCAAAATGAGAATAGCAAAAAAGTTGTGTCAGTACTTCTAGATATACTAGCACACCAATACATATGACTTTTGCCTGCTCAAATCAATTTTTACAAAGTTAAAAAAAAAAAATGGCTGTTTGATGGCGTAACCTTTTTTCTATGTGATAGCCAAAGTACTTCTCTTCTGTCCTTTCAAAGGGAAGGAAAGTTATCATATGCACCTTTAAACCATTTTAAGCCTTTGACCCTAAGAGTGACTAGCATCTAATTTCTCCTTACAATATCACCCCTGAATCACCAGAATAAAGGAAATGACCACCAGCTAAAGAAGCTCCTGATTATTAATTAGATAAATTCTCCTTGTAAGCACCTCAGGAAATGTATAGAGAACATGCATAGAGAATATGCATACTGATGTTAGGATGTAAAGGGTTAAGGGATGGCCTTGAGTTGCTTATGTAAACAATACCACAGTTTTCATGTAGATAAAAGAACTTCGATTTACAATAAAATACTAACATCATGTTTACAAATGAAAACAAACTCTGAGACAATTACCTGGGAAATCAATAGAAGCCCTCAAAGGCACAGAAAAAAACTTTAAAGAAACTGAGAATTTATTCTAACAATAATAAATCTTAATTTCCATCCATTTATAAACCTAAGTTAAACATCTATCTTACCCTACACCAAATGAGCAAAATTCATCTCAGACTTACCCTGGCTTCAATATCCCAATTATCTCGAATATAAAGGCCAAGAGCTCCACCAAAAACTCCTCCGAACAGGATAACACTAATTGTTACGCTTTTACGTGTCAGTGCTTTAAGAACCATCCTTTCTCACAGAAAAAAGGCTCCTTCAGTATCACCAAGAAGTTCTTCGACCAAAACTACAGTGTTGCACCACAGAGCAAAATGGCGATCGTATTTACGTCATGTAAATGGTCTTATGGAGTCTATGATAGGAAGATCCGCTGACCATCTCTCTCTACGCAACCACTCCTTCCTTCTGCGTCCTGGGAGGGAGGACGTTTTTAAACCATAGTTAATATATTCATTCACAATGAGTAGACATAATTACAACAGATTGTACACAGTCCTTGGGCCCCCACAAGAATCTGCAGCAGCTTTTGTGTCTTTGATTTTTCCAAGTTTTTCTTACCAGTCACGTCTACTTACTTCAATCAAACCTAAGCGGCACCGTATTAGCAGTCACCGCTGTCAGGCCTATCCCAGGTACAGGTTATCAAAGTATAGAAAACTTTCCCTTTAAATAAGTGTCATTTTCACTTTTCTTGAGCGTTCGTTGTCACCCTTGACTGAGTTCCAACGGCCTGTTTGTATTGTCCTCCACATGCATTGAACGCTCAATTAAAGCGGAACCACTTGAATAGAATTAAGAATAATCTCTCAAGTAAAATGAAATCCATGTTTCAGGCTTCCGAAATCAGTTCAAATGTCCTTTACTCATTACACGTAAAATTTTTCACCAGGAACTTTCTCTTGCGTTTAGCAAAGTCAACGACTTCATTCGTGGAAGTAAACCGGTAACCAAAAAACCCAACGCTGATTTCAAATTATCTTTCTTAGGACTGTTAGGACAGATGTTGCATACGAGCTTCACACAAGTCCTTTGCTTTATAATTTCCCAATGGTCTGACTGTTAGCTCCTTAATGTTTTCTTTAATGCGCTGCGCTACCATTTTGTCTATTCTGCTTATAAGGGTCAAAGCATTTTTGATTAAGTCAGTATAATAAACTGTTAAGATTTAGTGATTAATTATGGCATAAAAAGGAATTTTTATGGTGTTTGACTCCTGTTCGGTGGAACCTGTATTTAGCAGTCAATCTGTAGTAAGCGGTCACCCCGGGCTGCCATTCCCATTAGGGTGACCGTGAAGGTTCCCCTGTTTGCTGGATGAGCTTGTCCCAAGGGTGGAAGGTTTCTATTGTCTACTGATTAATTCAAAGTAATTGGAATACTTTTGAAACGTGAGAACGTTCAGAAGTATAGAAAAGACAAGCAACAACCCATGGGAAAGGAATCTGTCGGCTTTTTCCTAGTTAGTAATGTCCACTAACTACTTCAAATTACAGCAGAGCTGCAGAGGCGACCTAATGTTTTGAATTTCCAGTGCTTCACTTCGTCTAGAATCATATGACTCAGTAAGCAGGAAATTCAATAGCAAGATCAATATCTAACATTGATAAAGCTTGTTTTATGCGAGTAAGCACAAATTTTCTTTTGTTCTCCCAACATTCCAAGTGGGTTATCATTCCAGTAAACGGATTTAAAGAGCGGCAAATTGATTTCATGACAAAGTAGCAATATGTTTACGGGTACAATGAACGATAGGTTTTTCACCAATCAGAAAGAGCGAGCTAAATATAAAACTTTTCTAGACATTTCTTCGCGCTCCTCCCCTCGCACGAGACTTGTTAGACTCATTATTGCCCGCGAGTTACAAAAAAATTATTTAAAAGATGAAATCCTCTGTGGCCTTCTGGGACATCATCGTGGTATGTTCTAGAAATATATTTTAACGTACTCTTCTTATCATCTAGTGATATTGTTTAGCGACCGTGACAGATCTTTGAGCTGAAGATTTAATCATTAGTTCTGATAACAAAAGTTTAAAACCCATTGTGCTCAGTTGGGCGGATAAACACATTTGTTATTGTTTTCTCTCCCGTGTGTTTTACAAGAAGATCAGCTATTCACCGTTGAAGTATATTTTAAGTCAAACTGTTCTCGAGCATCAGTAAAGTGAGTACAAAGCTGTCGCCAACGTCTCATCAAAGTTTATTGAGTGGAGGAAGTTACCAGCTAAAGCTTGTTCCCGTATTCTCGTAATGAAGGCAATAAGGTAGGTCCTAACTTACTTAGCATAAGCATGATATACAATTTTAGAGAAGGGGATCGTGCATACTAAAAAAAACAGTGCTTTTAATGATACTATGTATTTCGCCTCCAACGCCGCATAGAGAATGTTGCGGTATAATTTGAAGTAAAGATTTTTCCACTGAGTACAAATACTTGTACATACTTTCTGTCAGTGGCTCAAGTTAAGTTTCTTCCAGACTGAACAATTATTCATCACAGCAAAAGTACTGTTTATGATTTAGATCAATAACTTGAGAGCAGCTAAAACTAGATACTAAAGGTGTTGCCGACCATTTGCAAGTGCACAGGTTCATCGATGCATTATTATTTGGTGAGACAGGCACATAAAAAAGGGAATCCCTCTCTACCTGGAGAATCATCAGAGACCAATATAATGATGATGCCAGGGGATTCAAACGCGATCCTTGATGAGTAAGAAGGGAATTTTTTGATGAGTACCCTTACCTGAATTGAAAAGGATGAAGTATAGATAAATCAGGCTGGCAATGGGGGGTAGCTTTGAGGGTTGACTGATTATTTTTTTTCTGAATTTGACGGTTGAAGGTTCAGTTTTGGGCTTTTGCAGGTTGAAGATTGAATTCTTGGGCCTTTGACGGTTGATAGTTATTAGAAGGTCTCAGTGGGGCGTAACTGCCTTCGTAGTTTGTACGCCTGTTCATCGCCTTAGTTACACTCATAATTGGAGCTGAACATGTATTCCTAGAATAATTACATTTGTCCTGTTGATGAGGTTATTTCCCCTGCTGACATTCATTTAAACACAACACCCTATTCTCGGACATGATTCGATTCACTTGTTCGATTATACATTCCATTTTCAAGTTCCTAAGATGTTTTATCTTGATTCAAGTTCGCTTTTACTAATATCAGGTTGAAAATTTTGACATAACTCTTCTCTTCTCGTTTGGGAAGTTCGAAGTGCTTGTTTGAATTCATTCATTTAATTAAAGCGCCTTTCGTTCCCGTTGCATTGTGCACATTGTACACTCTAAAGGTAAAGCGATAATGTGAAACAAAGGGGAACAAATGTAAAGATATTTGAATTCCCCGAAGAGAAGTCACCCAAAATAAAGGACTTGACCAATGTAAACAATTCAAAGAAAACTGTCTTCTGCCTGTAATCACTATTTACTTTTATAACTTTTTGCAAACAGTATCCATGCTTTTCGACAGCTAAAAAAGTATAGTTTTTTGATCCAAAAACAATCAAAAACCCAACTTAACTTATTGTCGTCGACCGGGTTTGGTTTTCCGAATGGAAGCACGAGAGCGTATGCCCCTATTTGCCTCCTCGACTCGAGAGGAATCTACCCGATCTTGGAGAAGGAATCGAAAAGTAACAAAATTATATAATTTAAGCTGACATTGTGAGCGGATTTTACCAGTTTCTAGACGCCGGCACGTCTGAGAAAGGAAATAGAATTTAAAAGTCTAGTCTTGAAAAGAGTATTGGAGATGGCAGGGGTCTTTTGGTTTGAAATTGGGTCGGGATTGGAGAACCGGGCGGCACTGAGGAGTGCCTCCCCCCTCCCCTTCTTGGGATGGGGGAGGTCTGATATCGATCTCGTGAAAAGTTTCTGTTCCACTTAGCCGAGTGGTGTTTTTCGATGTATAAATTGTACAAAAAAATTAATTTTTATGACAATAACTGCGAAATTTTTGAATCGACAATCATTTTTCAACAGCCTCCTTATCGCAAGGAAATGTACGTAAATTCCTTAATTTACGTTTCAATAATATTAGCTTTAATATCCGCGGCACTGATATTAAATTGCTCGATAATTTTCGCGAGGTCGCTTTTCATTATCTTCAGGACGAGTTTTCGTTCCCGCTCGCCGAGTGGCGGGTGTCATTTCCAGAGACAAAACTACAAAAGAAAACACATTACTACTGTCAAAATCGCGAAAATTAAGTGATTTTTAATGACTCCACACGAGTAACCCTAAACTTTTTGGAAGGATCATAAATTTTGTCGCAAGTTACCTTATTAAGAGAAATGAACGTGAAAATTGAGAAAGAAAAAAAAGTTTTCAATTAGCCAGCTTTAATATCCGCATCACTAATTAAATAGCTCGCTCATTTCCACGACCTTGATTGCATTTTCTTCTCCCCAATTTCTTGATACAATTCCAACTTTTTTCACGGCTACATATCTCTTACCGTCGCATACTTTACTTTCGATAAATTAAAGCATACGAAGAACGTTGAAAGTGCATTACTTCTTCACCTATCTAATTCTGCCAACACTTTATCCGTTGCAAATTTTTCTCCCCATGTGTTAAGTTATAACTTTTCCTGTTTTCTTAACAAATAATGTTTCTCAGTGAGGCCGCGTTATTTTCGTTCATTTCAAATTAAATCATTTCTTTCTCGTTAATTTGCTGTAATGAAGAGCAATTTTCCTTCAATTCCTGTTAATTTACAGATTGCCGCGTTTACTGAAATATTTTATACCATCTTCGATTTCCCAATTTAAGGTAGTTTTCCTTATTCTTCCGAGGATTAAAGATTCTCCATAATCACCCCTTAACCCCTGCATACAGACGGCAATCATAGTCATTGTTCCTCTTAGATTCTAAATGTTTCTAACCACCGCAATTTATCGCAGTCAGCGGTGAGGAATATATTCTGACGCTCAAGTTTTGGTTTGAACTTTTCTAATTGCTATTGTTGTTTTTTTCCTTAAGTAGAGTGATGTGGTTAGTTTCCTCTAAAACTGCTATGAAGATTTTGACCGGCAGCATTTTACTTGCCATTCTGATAGCAACCGTGACGTCACGTTCGCCTTCCAAAGGTTAGTTTAAAAGACTGAATGAAAAACCCAACTTACGTTGTGCAACTTTTAGCGCTATCATTATTGAGAACAGTAAATCGTATAATAGCAGTTACTTGGCGTTGTAAAGTACTGAACAGGCTGAAATACGTTTAAAACGTGTCGCACGGTGAAGAAATTACTTTTTCTAGCTATTTGCCAATCGTTAACTGATCTGTAATCACCATAATCCCTATTTGAAAGATACCATTCTTACATAAGTGATATCATTGTGGATAAATTACCCTTACCAGCATCAAATACATTCATAATAAGCAGTTTTTATAGAGTTGCTTCCAATTCATGGCGCAATCAGTTTTTAAGTTTTTAAACAAAAACCGTAGAACTCGTTTAAATACAAAAGAATAGTTTCTTAGTGGCTTGCTTACATGGAAAAGATTTGGCAGCTAAATAAATATTTTTACTGAGCACTATGTATTCTGTGAACTTTCCCGGTCGACTGCATTTTATCAAAGCGTAGCTGAGAGCAGAGAAGGTTGTGAAGAATCATGGAGAAACTTACTTTTCTACTTTTGAATATTTTTATGCTGAGCGCCTTTGGAAAAGGTAAACAATGTCCTAATCTTAACAATAACTGTTACTTTGATGAATTGATTGCTCTCATCAGAAAACGTTTTTTTTTGTTTCCCTTCACCATTCGACTTCGCTTGAAGGCTCTCAATTGCATGTGAGGTGGTGCCGGCTTTTCTCTCGAATTGACTGAAGCCTGAACTTAAAAATGCAAAAAATGAAACATAAATATAAATTAAGACTTCCCAAAGCTTTCCACAGACAAATTTTCCTATCTAAAGGCAAACCAGCTCTTACCGGTATTCATGCGGATAAAAAAATTACTTGAAAGAACTGTTCTTATTTTCAAATTATAAATTCCTTATTCTTTAGGTCTCAGATGACCCAATTACATTTCACAGATCTGCTATGCATGCAAGAGAATTATTTACGAGCAAGAAATAAGCCTTGCGGAACCTTTTCTTTGGAGGAACATTTTCTCATTTGAGCTTGTTTCTGTGGGATATTTGTATAAATAACTCTGAAAACTAAATATAGGCAGTTGTTTTTTGAGACTGTCAAGTATTTTAGCAATGAGGTGAAAATTTAAATATTCATTTTTGTGAAGGGAATATTTTTGTTGCTGCCTTCATGAATCCTTTCTAAAGATGACTTACTGTACTCTGCGATTCCGACCTACTGTCGACTAACACCTCGACCTTTTCTTTCTTTGCAACCAAACGCAATTACGCACAACTTAAGCTAAAAAGACAAGAGTACAAAGATCAGGCTTAGCTAAAGGTAAACAGTAGCCCTACTGTGTGGAAACAGCCGTTCACGCTAGTATTTTTCGTCGAGACGCCATTGTCACCCATTCCAGCCATTGTAGGAATGAAACAATTGCTAAATGAAGTAGGAAGTCAACATTTCCTTTTGATTATAAACCACACTTTGTACACTGAGCCAGTTCCCACTTCGAACTCACAATACTGGTCAAAAAAGAATACGCACCTTGTAAAAATACTGAAATGACACTCAATTTATGGAGGGTTTGATTTCTGTCATTTTAAAGACTCACATTGTCCAAATAGTTTTTCTGCCAAAGCCAAGGTTTCTTACAATCGTCCAGATCACCCCAAACGATCCCGAGAATGCCCATGCATTGGGGCAGATTATATGGAAATTGAATGTAAAGCAGTCCGTACATTCGCCAGTAATTCGGTCGAATAGGACGGATTAAACTGAGTTTGAGATTAGGCCTGAGGCCCTTTCAAGGTCTAGTGGTTTCCCATCCCCAAAAGCAGTTTTTCGTTTGCTGTGTCGTACTTAACTGAACTTAACTTAGATCGAGATTTCAGTAACTTTTAAATTAAGGCAACGATTATATCAGGAAACGAGAAAGAATCTAATAGAAAAGTTTTTACTAAAGAATCTCGACGGCTACGCCTTCGATAAAAATGATAAGATGGCTGCAGACCTGCAAAGTTCCCAACATGTTCGACACCTCAGTGAAATATATCCCGAAAAAAATTAGGATGCAAATTAACCTTAACTAGGAAAGGCCACGTTGCCGATAGTGCAAATAAGATCGTTTTCAGGATGCAAATGTTTAATATCACACCTACTTGGTAGTTTCTTTCAAATCAGTGAAACTCTCCGACCATAGATAGTTTGAACAGCTTATATAAAATTAAGATTTTTTCCACAACATTTATTGAGGTGGATTATGACTAGAAGTTTACTAAAATGGTTCAATCGATAAACAACGTCGTGTAGCTTACTGGAGCATTTTCTCTTTACCAATTAGCAGCATTTTCATGATGCAATTAGAAAATTCATTTTGAACGTTGATGACTGAGCTTAATTATCTCAGCTTGAGCGTAGTTTTCTAAGAGACAAAGTTCGAAGTTCACAAGTTGGGAGCGAGGTAAAGTTTTTCGTAGGTCCACCTTCAGTTCTCGTAGGGGAATCTGATCGCAATGAATTTCTACTTCTATAGAAACTGTAGTGCTGCGTCGGTGGGAAAACATAACAGGGTAACTAAGTATTGATGGCAAACTCTTCGTAGTCCGAAGACCATGCAGTGGGAAGGAAGTCCTCACTATGGGCGGCGTGTCATCTGATGACTGATAAGTCCAATTCTGGATTTACATATTCTGGAGCAGGTGGGACAGGGGAGGGTCTGATCGCTGCAGGACGTTTCTTGATTGGCCCACTCCTTTCGACACTTGCATTTCTCCTTAGCAGTGTTCACTCTGGAGTCCTCGAACTCGAAATATTATAAACTGATTTAATAACGTAAATTGGCCACGGTTAACAGAGTGTAAAAGCTCACGTTTCCGAGTGCCAGGATCATTGCAAATCCATCCATAAAAGATATGATCGCAGTTACAATCGTCGTTAGTGGTCGTCTTGTCCACTGTTGTGTTGGTATGACGAAAAATTCTTGATTGATGATCCGCTATCGACAACGTGACAAACTCACATGCAAGTGCAACTGTGCAAATACAGGAGACAGAAAATGCTACAATTTCTGATGGGAACCTGAACGTCAACGAGATGGGCTAATAACCGTTATCATCCAATCTCGTTGACCTTCTAAGGCTTAGTACAGATACCTTCCAATCTTATGTACCATTTGGTTCTTTCAATGTCGTAACGAGGCTAACTAAGATGGGGCGTTCTTTTTAAGGCTAAAAGACTGAAAAAGATTCGGGCACGGGTGAAAGAGTGAGAAGCCAGGAATTAAAGTAAATTATAAGATTGCATTAAATCACGCTCACTCTATTTTACAGATGATGTGCAGATCAGCCCAGAAGATGCTAACAGCTTCATGGTAGTTAAGTCGCGTGTGCCAAGAGGCATTTATCACGAATGTTATCATGAAGGATGTGATTTTGAGGAGGTTGAAGAAGTATTCGGAGCCTCAAAAAAGGGGGTATGTCTTATATTATCATGATAACTCTCTAAAGATGAGACTTTCTAACATAGGTTTGTGAACGAAACATTGTGTAATTAATGTGAAAACTTGCACCGAACCAGTTCCAAAGTTTTTTGGGAAACGTTCCATCTGTGATGACCGTGATATGAACTGAAAACGTTGTGATGCCATGCCTCAATAATTACGCACTCATGAAGATACTAAAGGTCAGTTATGAATAAGTGTTAATTTCGTGAAATGCACGTTTCTCTTTCTTTTTTTTTTCAGTATGAATATTATTACACTTACACTTGCCATAAATTTGGAAGAAACTGCAAAGGTTTGTGTTTGTCGTTTAGTCAATATCTTACAGATAAATTTTATTTCAGGTGCACAATTTTCATATAGGGGTTATAGTTTGGCAGGGGATGGGTTGGGAAGCCAAGTGCCTAATTTGCCCGAGCGATTAGAAAGACTATGGATTTCGTGCTCTTAGGTCCTCGACAGGGAAAAACAATTTTAAATTTTGAACGTTAAACTGGGCTCTTTTCGGACCGGACATCTTGACATAGGAGTGCATAGTATTCTGAATTCCATGTTGTTTTATTTTACAACCTACAAAGTATATAGCTAAAACCGGGTCACCGACTGAGCAGATTTTTCTAAAAGAGAGCCATGGTTTCATAAACGCAGTGACGTTACCCAGACGTCTTAAATGAATCCCCACCTTCCTCATTCTGGTAGAAAGTTAGAACTCATGCTCTGAATTCTTCACTTCACAGTGCCGTGCACTTACCGAGAAGACTGTACTTTTGGTGAGTGGGGAACCTGGCGAGGAGTGGTAAATGCTCAGCAACCTGGATGTTACCCGCAGATAAGATCGAAACCATACAACCATCCACTTCAAACTCAATATCGACGCTTCAGCTGTGGTGGACTCAACATTGGGTGTCCTGCTCCACCAGTTCAGAGGCGACGGCAATGTAAGTTAAAACTACCAGTTTTTGAAATACACAATCTTTTTTTTACAGGAAAATCTGGAATTGTCTTCCTTTTTTACCAACACTCGTGAAATAAAAGTTTGTATTTCTTTAAGTCACGATCCGGTTAACTTTCATCTCTATAAAAGCTCCTCTCTGATATGACATCCCCCTCGAGAGATCCCTGCGTCCAGAATTTTTAGATAAGCCCCTATGCTGGTAAGCTGATAAGTCCCTCTTCCACCCCTCTCTCTACGGCTCTAGAATCGTAGTTCATTTGGGATTGGTATCTCCCTTTAAGATTAATATATTTCTTTATTGAAAGCTTTACAGTTTTACCGTTTCAAATATCGTAGGTTTTATAACCATACTAAACCATACTGAACATAGTGTCTTCCCAAAAAGGTTGGATGACTGTCAGAGGGCAAGAAATGAATAATCTTTTTTGGAGGGGGAATGATAACTTTTAGGGAGTGTTACGGCAAGTATATATACTTTTGCCTGGCTCAGCTTCATGCACGTAGAAAAAAACAGCCATTTCATCTTTCTTTTTTCGACTTAAACCTTGTAGTAAACTTGTGATCTAATAATGTGAACGATTTTAGCTTTTTGTGTTTGTTTCTTTGTTCAAAAGGCCAGGGAAAAGGCTTTCGCTACCTTCTTGTTTTAATGAAAAGATCATGATGTTTAGCAACAATCGTTACCGTTAGACTCTACTGGGTTGTTCGACTTTGTTATTTTGGCCTGTTTTAAACCAGGTGTATGTCGAAAAGCTAATTGCCAGCATGGATCTTGGGAGGAGTGGACTGGGAACATAACAGAGGGAAGCTGTGGGATGCAGAATAGAATCAGACCATACACTTTGACCTGGTCTTTGGAGCAACAGACTGGTTCATGTAATTCCGTTCCAACTGAGTGTCCTATTCCAGAGACAGACTATCGAAAGATGTGTAAGTGCTTGAAGTAACTCATCTATTTCCATTTTGATGGTCGGTAGATGGCTAACTAATCACCTGGCCTGGCACTTCACTGTCCTACAAATAAACACCTCGCAGCTTTACAAGACATTAGCATTTTAGCCTCATTTATCTATCTAAAAAGGGTATTATTCCCCGAAAATTTTTGAAGAGAATGGCACTTGACGAAGAAGTCGGAACATACTTTTAAGCTATGTCGAACTGATAGCCACCATTGATAAGGGTTGTCGTCTGAGCTAGTAATTCATCAGAATTATCAATTGCACTCAATTTCCCTGTTCGATTTACACAACATGGATTAAACAACAAACTGAGTTTGTGGCCTCATAAATTTTGCAGGCAGCTGTCCCAAAGCGGATTGTGCGTTGGAAGACTGGGGCGAGTGGAAAGGCTCTGTCGCGGAGGGAACTTGTGGCCAGCAGAAGCGAACAAGGGGGTTTACCAAGTCAATTGTTTATGAACAACACGTCAACGAATGTCCAGCCAATCTTCCTCAAAAGTGCCCACAGGCTCTTGAAGAAACCCGTACAAATTGTAAGTAGCCAAAAGTTTTAGTGCGGTTTTGATAAACAGTCAGTTTAAACTACAAACAGACCAACAAACAAGCCAAAATTCCCAGATCTTGGATGAAAATGGACTTATAATATTTATTCATTTATTATAAAACAGGTAGCTGTAAATATGCCACCTGCTCTCTCGGTGATTGGTCAGAGTGGGAACCAAAGGAGCTCCAAGAAGGTCAATGCGGTCAGCAACAGACGAGGAGGAAGACATATGCCCTAACTTTTCAATATCAGATGCATGCTGACAAGTGTCCACCCCTGCCACAAACTTGCCCAGACGACATCGTCGATAAAAGAACGCAATGTAAGTTTACGTATGATCATTGACAAAGAAAGCCACGCCGTTTAAAAGAAATTATTCATCTCAGCAAGAGATAATATTATCTTGATCTCGGTAAGCTCTAAAAACTTGGAACCATGTCATGTTGTTTTAATGCGCAAGGGCGTTACTTAAGTGAGTCATACGTGGGCATATTACCTCCTCCTTTCGAAATAAATCGTACAATAAGACTATATTCAATAGGATAGTGAATAAATGAAACATTTAAAAAAGAAAAAATAACTGGTGCAATGAAATTGTTTTTATGAGCGTATAATAAGTAAAGGTCATCTTAGAAGATACCTTAATGTACAAAAGCCATGGATTATACTGCAACATGCCGGGGAACTTTTCTTTGGTTCATGGACTTAATCCACCATCGCGACAACCTGTTTTTCAAATAGAAATAAGAAATAAGAGTCGATCAAAGTTAAAATTCCTCATGCTGCTAGTGAGGTAAGATAACTCGAGAGGTAGCAGTATCCAATTAGGAAGTCTGGGATATGTTTCATCGGGGCCTGAATTCCTTTTCCCCGTTGTTTCCATCGTTTAATTTTGAATCAAAGCTTACTTGGTGATCAATTTTTAAAGGCAAATGCCGATACAGGGATTCCTGTGATCTCAAACCTTGGAGTGAATGGGAAAACCCGATAACAGAGGAAGGGTGTGAATTACAGACGAGGACGCGAGATTATGTTCATCCTTTGAAACACTCGCTGCAAGAAGATTGCAGTGGCTTATTAACGTCTTGTGTGACGAAACCGAAGGAAAGCAGGAATTTTTGTAAGTAACATGAAAATAGATTTGATTAAAATTATGCAGGGTGAATAAATGAAGAAATGAAAGAATGAATACATGCCAGAAAAGTTTCAAATGAACATGCGTGGTACACAGGCGGAGGGGTGTGCGAGGCAAGGGTAGAGGTGTGATACGATGTAAGTGTTGCAATTGTCACTTAATTTGTAACTGGGGAATACCACCAGCTTGAAAATTTAAGCTTTTCAATTCCTACCTTTCAATCCCTAAAATTACCTAAGAATTTTAACCTAAAAACCTATATTGGGAACAAATTTCGTGATTTTTACCACTAAATAAATTTCCGGTCGTATGACAAATATTAGGTAAATGCAAATACGTGGAATGTGATCTCGGTGAGTGGTCTGATTGGAGCAGTCCTGCCTTGGCCCCAGAGCAGTGTGGGAAGGAGAAACGAACGAGGGAGTACATTGCTAAAGAAAAGTTCAGTTTTGGAGAGACTTGTGATGGACTTGTCACCTCTTGTCCAGCCGCGAAAGAGGAAACAAGAACAATTTGTAAGTTTATAGTTTTCGTGAAAAAAAGTTTGTATACTTAGCAGATGAATTGTATCTGTCGTCAAAATATAATATACGCCACCTATTTGATACTTGAATCTACAATGTATAAATTTCATTCCGCCGGAATGATACAATCCATCTGGTACTCGCACAAGGTGAATGTGAGAATAGGTTTCATTAACTATGAAAATCAAATGATCAAAAACAATATTTTTATCTTGATCCTAATAGTTTACTGATTTATCCATCAACGAATTAATCGACTAAATGATTATTCAAAATTATTTACAATAGATATCTTATTGATAGACTTGTTGAAAACGAGTGTCATTTCAAAGACAAAAACACAAGGCTAGATTTTCTTTCCTTTTCTACCGTGCCGTGGTTTATGTTTAAATGTGGTAATGTTTTATTGCTTTTGGCATCAGGCAAATGTGCATATGTTAGTTGCAAAATCAGCGATTGGAATCCTTGGAAAGGTGAACTACCGAAGGACGGATGTGCGCAACAAATAAGAACAAAAGATGTCACCACGACCCAACACGAAAAGATCCAAGCAGAAAACTGTCAAGGACTTCAGACCACCTGCCCCGAGGTGCCACCAGAGACAAGGACGTGGTGTAAGGACCTAAATTTGTTACTTATATAACGGCTGTCGGGGTTGAGAGGTTCGAGTAAATCAAATTCAAGGCGGTGTCTAGGAGTCATTTCGTATCAGGTCAAGCGCTCTCTCTTAATTAAGGAAGAAATGACACGAAGAAGAAATGAGGAGACGACACAAGTGACAAGGGCAAGAATTGTGAACCTGATACAATATTAAGTTCCAATTCGATCCACGAAAATTTTAAGGAGACACTTTCACTTCACGTATGGGGGAGACCTGAAACCTGAAAGGCTCTTTAGTGGACAGAGTAGAGTTACCATTAATTTGAAAAAAACTAATATAACAAAATGGAACTTGTTTTTTTAAAGTAAGAGTGCCACAGAGAGATTTCGATACTCGGAAAAAGTGTCTAAGAATGGCAGAATGGAATGGACATTCAAAAGCAAACTTTCTTTTTTGCCTTATTTTCCACCGTTCTACCGCAGTCAAAGAAGTTATTTTGTTTCAAGTTTTGTACCTCTTGAAAAATTCAGTCGGAAATATCTTTTCCTGATACCAGAGTCCATTTTTTTGCATTTCCAATCCTCTTTCTACCATTGTGTTTTCGTTGTTACCAAGCTACAATTTCACGGTTTTCTTCATGTGACTGTTGTCTTGCATGTCCCAGCAGACGATTCAAATTGAAAACAAATCTGTGCTTGTAGGTAATTGTTCCTTTAGAGAAGACTGTGTGCTTAAGGAGTGGAGTGCTTGGTCAGAGAAGATTCCGGATGTGGGATGTGCTGTACAAATTCGAAAACGTGACTTTAACAAATCGCTTGAATGGATTGAAAGAGGAACATGTGATGGTTTGGAATCGTGTCGTGCCATTCGAGAGGAGGCCAGGACCGAATGTAAGTCGATTGTTAAAGATCTTGTTAACTCCCAAACGTGACCAAGACAGATTCTCTCATAATGTTAATACAACATCAAACAGACATATAATGAAAGTAAATAAAATATCATTTAGGAGATTATTAGTCGACCCAGTACCAAATTATGTGAAATAACTCATTAGTAGGAATGTATAGCAGACGATAAGGACGATTACTCATGAAATCTTGGGAGTGAAAAGATAAAACTCCTTCCGTTTCCGCTTCACTCCTAGAGTGTGGAGACAGTGTCAATCAAAGAAACTAAATCTTATTGACTAAAAAGTAGACATACAACTGAAATAAGATAAAAGTCATGAGCCAAAAAATAGTTTTTAAAAATTATTAAAAGTGTTCTAAACTCGTCAGTTGATAATAACCGTAGTCAGTCACCATGTGCTGGTAGGCGGGTGCAGAGGCACAAAATATGTATAGCTTTCAGGTTCGTCTTGATCAGTCCAAAGAGAAATCTGGGCCGGGTTGTTCAAAGCTGGGTTTAGATGACCCAGGGTTGGTGTGTGGTCTGATTTTAGATCTTGTATAATTCTTTTTGTTTAAAACGTGATTATTGGATGCTCTAAAAAGAATACAAAAAAATTATGTAAAAAAGGCTTCTGAACACAGGAATAGAGAAACCCGGATTAAATTTAATCCTGGGTCAAAGCTAATCGGCCTTCCAAGAACTGGGCCCAGCTGAAAGATAAGGTTAAAGTAATCATAAACTGAACTCGATGAAGCAAATAGTGCTTGTCACTTCTTCACTTTTTTGACGAACTTAGAGGCCAGAAAAAGGAATTGCTGCTTTCATTTATTTGTATGCCTATTCATTTTCGATGCACTCATCTGCAATTCCCAGGTAACTGTAATCAGATCATTTGTTCTTGGGGAAACTGGACGCGAAAGAGTTTCAACGCCGAGACCAATTGTTTTGTTGAAATGAGAGTTAAAAATGAGTCAGATGGCTTCAAGAAGATCAGACAGGCTGATGACTGTAAAGGAATACCAACAAGGTGTAGAGATGACGAGAAAGAGGAAAGAGAAGACTGTAAGTGATAAAGAGATGTTGTTGATTATGGCAGTACAATAATGATGATCATCATAATGATAAGGATGACAACGAGGATCTGATCATGATATTGAAGTCGACGAAATACATTTTCATGACTAAAGTGAGTCACTGTAGCCGAATACAGGGCTGAACTACCACATGTACGAATGATAGATACCGACGATAGTAGCACGAAACATTTCAAACACTGAAACCTTTTGGAATTTTCGGTGTCGCATAGTGAAATTCAACTGTCGAAAGTGAGGTTTTTTTTGCTTTCATATGGGTATGTTGCTTCGATTTCCCCCAGTGCGAGTCAAATATCACTTTTAAAAGGCTTTGGGTTTATGATACATTGAATGATAATATTTGAGATTTTCTTGAATCCCAGGTCTCAGTGGAGGACCTGGAGGAAAACCGACCACTACTGCCCCACCTACTCGTCCTCCAACCACAGTAGCACCAACAACTGCCGGTACAGGTAAGAGATAAGAGAGTATGTTCGTTTTGATTTCTGTTCAAATGAAGAATGGTCAATACTACTAGCAATAGCAATTTCAATTGTCTATACTAGATGCCTTTGTTTCGATTTTCGCGCCAAATGTGCACACGCGCGCTTTTCCACCATTTTTCGCGCCCTTTGCGTATGTTTCTACTTTCGGCGAATTTGTTGATATTCTCGAACTTTTCCTGAACTTTGTGTATTCGTTGTCACGGGAATGAAGTCAGACAGAGAATCCATAATATTTTTAAACTTCGAAACTCTTTTATGATGCGAGGTATCATGTCTCATTTTCATAATTGCAGGCGTCTCATAGGTTGCCAAAGAGCTTCTGGGAAAGAATTAATGCTTATACAATGAATTATATTTTTTGTTTTTAAGTCAAACCACCGACCTTTGTACACATTGGCTGTTTCAAAGATAAAGGCAAAGATCCTCGTCCGCTGCCGATGTTAATTGCAAATAAGAGGAAAGAAATCGATTGGTACAACCTAAGAAAGACGGTAGAGGCTTGTGCAGCTGAGGCGCAGAAGAGCAGGTTATTTGAATCTTTGTTTTCGGTGTCTCCATCAGATATTCAAAATATATTCAGATATTCTAGCAATGAGTAACCAGAGAAAGGAAAAAGAAACGAACTCGTAATCGATGTCATTATATGGCAAGGTAGTCCTGAGGTAAGTCTCTGTAGACGTTCCTTTGCTATTTACTTGGCTAGGATTTTGCCATACGGACCGTTTTCACGGAACGGTCCTAAGCCGTGCCTTTTTTTCCGTGAAAGCTGGCAAATTAAAAAAAAATTAATTTATTCTGAGTGCCTTATAATAAACTACTTACTAATTTTGCTTGCTTGAGCCATACCGGGCAATTATATTAGCCCTCGTTCGTTTTCGGACAGACCTTGCTGCTCTCCGCCTTGACCTCGGGCCAATATTTGCCAGAAAGGCCCTTGTGATCGGTTATTAAGAAGTTAATATTAAATAGTTTCGAGAGCCTTAGACTAAAATGCCCGCAGTTCGGCAAACACTTCTTATTTAGGAGCCGTTAATTTTGTCCTGGCAGATATGAGTATTTCTCGGTGCAGTTCTTTGGCGAGTGCTGGAGCGGAGAAAATGCAGGCAAAACGTTTGCAAAAGATGGGGTGTCTAAGGATTGCTATGAAGGGGTCGGTAAGAACAGAGCAAACGCTGTTTACCGGATAGAGGACATCCCACGTAAGTAACCCGTAATACTGTATTAACTGAAAGAGACGGCGCTTCGATAATATAGCTATTATTCTTCGAGCGCGCGTTGGATATGAGATGGTAAATAACCAACGAATGCGTGAGCGCGAATGGAAGAATTATTTTATTGAATTAACCGCCTTTCGTTAATGCTGGGAGCTCAGTGGATTTGTTTCAACACTAAAATTAAGAAAAATTTGGCTAAGTTAGTTTCCATATAAGGTTATTCAGTGAATATATGGGCTGACTTACGGAGTTGAGTAAACCAATCAGAACACTGGAAATGCAATATGGAATAGGTATAAATATAGCTTTGAAAGTGCCACGATTCAAAGACAGAACTTTTAGAAGATGGGGTGCGAGAATCCTTCCCACGACGATCAGGTTCCCCATTATTCGGAGGAAAGTATTCGCAATAGTTTGAGTAATAGACGTAATGGTAGGTATAGCTCTGTGAAAGAGGGTTGCACGTTTTGTATACCCGATCACGATACTGTATTCCTCCCAAAGGGTTTTATCAGTTAAAACTGCTCACATCTTTATCTTAGATCATAAGGGTAACCCTTTCGGGACATTCTTCATCTCGCTCATGATATTACATGAGTAGTGCTAATTTTGTGATTAAAAAAACATTTTTCTCACGGGCCCAAAGGCTGCTAGAGAGGAGATGGAAAATGTGTTGTTTGGTTTAAACTGATTTTACGAGTGGTCTATACATTCATTCACTTTAGGTTTTGTGTCTTAGACAATAGGCACGTCAACTATACAACAAGTTCATTATCACTTGAAAATATTGCCACTGACGACTTTTTTTCTTTTCATCTTCTTTCACGACTTACCGTAAGGCAAAGATGTTCGTTACGTTCCATCTCTCACGGGCCGAGAATTTAAATCAAACTGCGTTACAGAAAAGTAATTTAGGAGGAAGAAATGAAAGAGTCATAGAGCAGTTTATAGCTTTGAATACTAGGCGTCGGTTGAGTGATGTTTTAGGTTATAGTGAACATACCTATCATATGAAAATTGCGGGGCGTTATGTTATATGAAGTATGATGATAATTTACGTGTTATTTCCATAGCCTGCTCTTCTGAGCTTAGTATTACAGCACGAGCCAGCAGCGGACAAGTACGAAAAAATAACGCCTGGTGCGCTGGGAGCAATTCTGACAAGTTTCAGTGGATCGTTGTGGATTTGGACGGTGAAAAGAAAATTTCAGGTATCGTAGTTTATAGTTAGTTTCAAAGAAATTTATCGACACTTTGGTTCATTGTGAGGAAGCGCTCTTGGTTTCCATTGAAAGAAACCTCTGCAAGGTTCCAGGAAGGTGCAACCTTTGTCTGAGATTAACTTTAAAACATCAAACACGTTTGCAACTCTAGGTGTCGGCACTCAGGGTGTCGACCTGGACAACTGGGTCACCCTGTACACAGTTCAGTGGAGCGAGGATGGAGAAGCATGGGTCACCTACCAAGAGGATGGTCATGATAAGGTACTTAATTATTTTTAAATTTTTATATCCCTTACCATATTGTTTTCAGTTTCTGTCCGTTTGTCTCATCAATCGGCTGACTTGTCTTTCGGTCTGTCTAGCCTAAATGTGTGTTCGTCGTTTGTTCTCTCATGCATAACTGACCACAATTGCAGATCTTTACGGGCAATTCAGATCGATTCACCTTAGAGACACGCTGGCTGAAGGATCCAATCACAGCCAGTTTCCTGCGCTTCGTACCAAAGTCATGGTCTTCTATACTCGTTTGCATGAAGATAAGGGTTTATGGTTGCAATGTGTAAGGTATGCAAATCTCTAAGATTGTATGAGAGCAGACAAGTAAAATATACCGAAAATGAGATATTGAAGTGATAAGGGAAATAGCCAATGTGTTAGTTTGTCTAAGTAATGTAGATGGGTAAACAAGATATCGACATTACAGAAGCATCGTTGTAATTAACGCACCAGCAAAAAAATTCCTAGAGGAGCTAAATTTCCCGACGACTCCACCGAACTCTTCTATTTACACGTCACTGCCAGCGGTTTCTAAGTAAAGTATTACAAACATAATACATTAAGAACGGAACAACTAATAGCAAGATTGGAAATAACATGGGAAACTAAATAACAAGAAATACGTATAACATAGGCAATACTAATAACATAAGGAACACGGGACACTAGACGAAAGAACAATTTACCTGATGATTTTGGAATACGACCGCATAAGAACGTACTGGTGATTATCTTTTAACTCGAGCTCACACCTTTTTAACTTGCATGATCCGCGCGAAATTCAAACTTATATGACTAGCCGTGCGGACTGGGGCTAGGAGGGGGATTGGTTTCTACAATCTTAGATGACACTGTCTGTGGGCCATAAGGGAGTTTAGTTACAGTACATCTTACACAAAGTCAGTTTACGAATCTGATTAGCGTAATCTTATACGGTATAGTTCGATAACACATATGTTAAGTATAAATTGTAAAACGACCATGTGCTACTGAAGATGACACGAATACTGTGGAAACATGCTTTGAAAAGTTAAAAATGTTGTTTGATCTTTTATGAGAATTATCGTTACTTTGCTTATTTTCTGACCGTTTACACAGAGTCATATTAGTCTAGTTTATGTGGTCTTAAATTAATTATGGATACAACGTATAGAACGCGGAAAATTTTTTTTTTTATTCAAAAGTTGTTTTTATGAATTTAACGCGTAAAAGAGAATTGGCAATCTCTGATTCTACGTTTTTTTTTTGCAGAAAACAAAGGCAAGGAATCGATCATACTTTGTAGCAATAGAGCAGCAGCACTAACTTCCCACACAACAAGATAAATAAAGTGTGTCACCCTTGACATAATCGTCTGGTAGTTCTGATTTATTCTTTCATAGTCGTTTTAAGTGTTAGCAACTTAGGGAAGTCAACCGGCCCTGCCCGGTCGGGGGCTTCATAACTTTTCAATAAGCGGCTGTCGATGGTTCACTGTAGTAAGCTGCCCGGAAAAGGCTAATAAATACAGGGGGTAGGTTTCTAAAGAAACTGTAGGCTGCGTCCTCAGAGCGAAACGAAAAGCAAAGGGCTCACGCTCGAAACGTTAGCTTAAGGAGCTCTTTACGAAGGCCAAATTACATTATCAACTCAATTGATAAAAACAAATTATTCTACCCGGAAAAGGAACCGTTAGGCAAGACCCAAATGTAAAAGCTCACGTACAGGCTAAACAGATAGCAGCAAGAGGTCTTACATTGCTGGTGCTGCGTTGGTGGGGGAGTATAGCAAAGTAACTTGTTTTTTATCAACTGAGCTGATATTTTAAATTGGTCACCGTCAAGAATTTCTTTCAGAGCAGGCGTAAAGAATTTCTTTCAGAGTGAATAGAGGAATTGTTGCTTGTGTGCGGTTTGTAAACAAAAAAATGAAGCTATGCTATTGGTGGGGCATCCTTTGTCGCGTTCTCTTTTCCACTGTTGTCGTAGCACTTTGCACGAGGTCCCCAATGTTGAATCATGTTAGAGTCACTCAGTCGTCACTCAATTGTGACTCAATAAATAACTTATACCAAGCCACCTGCTTAACGCTAAGATTCAAAGAGCCCAGGGCAATGTGTACTTCTCCAAGCAACACCTTACGCCCAAATATTCCCTGCTTGCACCAAACACTCACCTGAAGAAGATAGTTTGTGTAAAATAAAATGATCGATTAGAAAAATTCGACGCAAAATGAAAAAAACGACTGTATCAATATAAGAACGAATGAAACAAGGCATGGATGATTGTGAAGTCGAGCGAACGAGTGAGAGATCGAATGAAGGAATGAATCCAAAAATGGAAGAGCTAATGTATGGAAACGCAAATGTAGGAATGCTTGAATGGATGAACGACAAAATTGACGCCAACAAATGGAAGAATAGGAGGTGGAAAAATCAAAAATATGAAAGGATAAAACAGTGAACCAGGAAACAAGCCAACGGACAAACAGAAAAGCAGATGAACAATGGACACATTTAGGGCTAAATGGAAGAGCCAATCAACGAATGGATAAAAGAGGCGATGAATGAATCGATTGAAGGACATATATACAAACGAAAGAAAGCAGGAACAGGTGCATGGATAAGAATAGCCGTTAAGCTTAGAAATTGTCTAATATACGTATAGGTGTTTACATTAGAGCTTACCAATAATTCGCTGTTATGGACTTCGCACCCAGAGTATTTGATTTTGCAGTTGTACACTGGATTAACGGATTGGCGAGTGATGGAAGTTTTTCTCTTAAGAAGTCGGACTTGATCCTTGATTAAATATGTCTTCACATACGTATCTGTGTAGAAGTGAAACCCCGTAAAAGGACCCTCTGTCAGTGAAGCAATTTTATCTTATTTTTGTTTGGTTCGGCTTTGCTTAAAAATTAATTAATTAAAATGAGTTTACCGGTAAATGGCAAGTTATTAAAAAAAAGAAGTCGCGGTCATCGAGGGGACGCTCCAAATGTAACGATCTCAATGACAGAATTTCAGTATCAGATTTATGAAAAGTGCCTGGTCACTTTGCAGAGGTGGTCCTTAAAGGAGGCGGTAACACAGGAAAGTTTGACTGAACAAGCAGCAATTACTTATACCATACCTGGTGGGTGGTCGCCAAGGACTAACAGGCTAACTCCTCGTATTATTTCCACTTCAAGAGATCCTCGAGATGAGAACAATCCAATCCGAAGGTAACCCAGTTCGTGGCCTGTGATAAAAAGAGAGAGTCACTAATTCTTAAAGACATTTTTGTTCTCCTTTAGTCTTAGCTTACAGTTGAATCATTTTAAACATCATTTTATTGATGCAATTTTCTAGGTGAGATCGAACTAATGGTTTTGTACCAGACGCGTAAAGAACATCTCTCGTAAGTTTCAAATGCACTTTATAGGTAAAGAGAGGTCCATCGTAGAGGTTGTAAAATTATGTAAAAGTATATCAGTCTAAGGTGGCTGTATAACGGATTTTGAACTTGTAAAGTAAAATTTTTTTTTTAAAGAGACACTGCCTCCGCCTTGTTCCAAAATTGTGATATACGGTCATTTTTATCGTTTCAACAGAGTTCATTTTTATCTACTTTTCTCGACGTGCACTAAGAACCTAACTTCGAGACCCACGCATGGTGAGGAATTCTGTTGTCAAAATCTCTTTTTATTTTCACCTTGATAACTTCCCCTTCTCAATTGGCCCGGTCCAACAACACCCTTCACGGGATCTTCACCATACAAGGTTAGTTTAGCCGCAGAGTCCCTGCTCAAACGAGGCCTTAAACTTCGAGAATATCTAATAACGAGATGCAAATTGCGATCAATAATCACGATAACTGCTAATTAAAAAGTTTGAAATTTACCGCTGACATACCTGAAATCTTTACAATGGGGAATAAGAGGTCAGCTTTGAAGCAAAAGTAAACGGCAAAATAAAAGAAAATTATGGCTTTTTTGGGTTAGTAACGACCCATAATTCTCTAAAAGCATTGGTTTGCTTGTAAGATATTTACATGAGGATAGTTTTGTTTAAACCTTAAAGTCAACAGTGATTTACTTTCTCAAGGCGTGTAATGTTCCTTTCTTCCCTGCTGGCGGTTCTGCTTCTTGTTTTGGTGCGTTGTCTGCTGAAGCCGGCAGCGTATGATCACCTGTGCTATCACGATGCACAGTAATACGAGGAATTTCCCATTTATCCATGACGTTTGAACACGGCTCCTGGTCATCATTGTCCAGTGGTAAACTTTCAGGGGGTGCCACCAGTTGCTGGTTTCCTAAGGAGATGATTTCCGCACTTCATGATGTAAGAGAAGTGTGTGTTCCACATGGTTTTAACCCCTCACCCACAAGATCTAAATAGCGATTCTCCAAACCGTATGTCATTCATTATTTTTCAGATCTAAGAATTTGGTGGTCAATTACGCAATATCCCGCTAGTGGATAATTTTTTTTTCACTTCTCATCACATTTTTGCTTAGAAATGCATGGATTTTGCTGGGGGATTTCATGTTTGGTCATTCCTGGGAGTAATAGGGTTAATACTCAACAGATTTCCGCCATAAGTGATTTTGATACAGACATTTCAGGGACAACAGTAGCATCAGCATCAGAAACGGACGGAGACGCCTTTCACGTAAAAAAACCGGTACAACGTGAATTGAGATCACCCGTCTCACACTGCTTTGGCAAAAACAATCAGGCTAATACTCAAGACTGTTACAAAGCTCTAGCGGAACTTGTTCTTATGCGACTCAGTCGGGTACACCTCTTCCCCAGCCTTACTTATTGCAAAATTTAATTTCTTTTTTCGATCATTTGTATAGCACAACTGCCATTTCACCTCAACCGATAAACCAAATGACCTTTTTTTATCAAACAATACAAGTAAAACCGTGAAAGGGCTGGTTTGGAGCGGGAAGTCCTTCTTACCTATACCTAATTCTCCTGCTTCGGTGTCTCCGGCATAGGCATCACGCGACGGGCGTTCTTCCGGGGTAACTTCCTCTTCATACACGTAATCAAATTGGGGGTCATGTATCGGTTTAGGAAATGTGAAGTGCGGCCTATGATAGGAAAGGTAATTCGTTAGAGGAGGCTATGCTCGGCTTAACTCTTAAAACTAACGGGTAACGTGGCGACTTTCTTTTGCTTACTATTTCGTAAAATTTCAAGCAAAAAGACTTTCTACACCTCCACATCTTTGTAACACATCGCATTGCGAGTTACTTTCCAGTGGTTTCTATCCAGGGGTAAACATCTTGCGATAAGAGTCGACGTCCACGGAAAAAAGGAAAGTTTCAGCTGTTTAAGCACAACCGATGAGCTGATCTATTAGACTTAAGAAAAAAGATGAGAAGAACTTATGACTCACTCTGTCTCCTTCATCGTGGGCAATGGCGAAAAAACCTCCCAGCCTACATCATTCGAAGAAGGCGATAAACGAGGTGAAAAACATGGCTGAGTTTCCATTGAACTGAAAGAGGAAATGTTACGATACACCTTGGATAAAAAGAACTTAGCTATAATAAGTAGAGGAGAATTCCGGCGAGCAGTTTGGTTTGTGGCTCTCCTCACATTAAAGAATGAAAACTTTTTCCTGCATGGGTACCCCTGTAAAGAATCTAAAAAGAGTAAATTCATTTAGGGCATGCGCATAAACTACACCGAATTCAGCAGTGAAAATTTTTTTACCAATCTTTGCTGACTGAATTACTTTAAGTCAGTAGACGTCACCCTGGTTAGGTGTTATGCACCTCATACACTGACAATGAAAACATTCTTATTAAAATTTAATCTGCCTTGAGTATGATACCAAAATGAAAATAGTGAGGTATACAACTTACGACGGCTCCTCTCCTTCGGCGACATTTCCTGCGCACACTTGTGAGCTCTGAGAATCGTTACGACGCTTGAATATTGAAAAAACACCAGGGCTTCGAGGTACTTGTAAATAATTGGTCAGAGATCTCTCCCGTCGAAGGTCTTCGGTGGACGTCGACACGCTGGGCGTAGTTGGAGCAGAAAGATATCCGGGCAAATCTGTGATCATAAACAAAAGTGCTATGCGAACTTCCGATGAACTGATCAAGTACTAAGCTGACAACTTAAGAGGGGTTTGACTGTTCTTGCAGGAGTGTGTCGTGGTGTGCGCATCTTACAAAATCTCGCCTAAATGCTTAAAATGTCTTAATCTTTCTAATCTTATGCTATTCCTTTCCTTTACATTTCTGAATCCATCTTCTAAGCTTTTTACACTGGAGATGATACTTCCGATCTTGTGAACGCATGCATATTCCAAAGGTACCTATCTAAAGATACTCAGCTTATAATCTCACATATGAATAGGTAAATTTCTCAGGGTTGGAGGAAGTAATATCTACATAAGAATCCTATGACAGATAGTAAGCTGAAGTACCAATGATATCTTGGAAGTAAAAGGTTTAACAGGTTTCCAAGGGATCACAAACAGTTTCTATATATATTACCATGATATTCTGACATCGTAGATCCACTAGCACCAGGCTCAGCGACTACCCCAAGCTGACATGGCTTCTCCATCAATTTCCCTAAACGTATCCTGAAATTTGCAGGGTACCTGAGAGACACGAATATGAGGACGGTAAAATAAAATATCCACGGTTAAGTCTGGTCCTCTGAATTATCACTAAGCCTGAATGAGCACTCACAGTAAGAATTCGTGTACTTCCTGAAAGGGGCAAATAAAAAAAAAAAATAATAATAATAACAGTAACAAAAACTAAGTTCCAGAGAAATTTAGTTCTGCAGCAATTTTTGTGTCTGATTTGTTGAAGGAGAGGTTTAAGTTTGGTACACTTGTGAGAACCGAGTTCCATTTTTTTATAGTAATGCTGCTGTGTTAGTGAGAGCTAATGAGGTCGAAATAGTTGTCTATGGACGGGTGCCCACTTGATTGGTTATTTGTTCTTTAAGGTGATTAACATATATCAGTGGATAGCGTTGAAGGCGTGCTCTGATTGGCAACTTATACTCCGAATACCCTATGCTATTCACCTTCAAGCAACTTTCGATTTTGGGATTTGCGCCTGAAAATATTGTAATCGTTGCAGGAAAAAATGAGTTAAAATCATGTTTTTGTGGTACAATATCTCACTTTAATATCTCACTTATACTGTGTGTTGGTGGCTTGTGGTAGATACCAGGCCGTTTCACTTTGGTGAATGGTTGTTGAATATCATCATCATTTTTTGAAACTTTAAGACCAATTATAGCTCGATTTAAAACAAAACCTGTACAATTATAGTTACTCTCAACACCAGATCGCTGATTGCTCTGGGCAAAAAAGGTACACTTTTGACAATCTACCTTTTCATGACCCTCAAAGCGCCTCTCATCTTCCCTTCTCTCTCCTCTTTAGCTTTAAATTCTATTTCGTGAGCGTTTTCTTTTGCAGACTTTAAAGACGTAAAATAATCTGACAGGTTATGTGGCAACTTTAAGCCATCCGTTGATCGCGTCATCGCTCTTTTCTTTCTCAGATCTTCCATGGATTGCGGAATACTGACAGAGGGTGTTGTTGGGGCTGACCGACTTTTATAGCTTGAATCTGCGAGGTAGAGCATTTAGTGGGCGAGATGAGATCTTGATGATCAAAACTTGATGAATCTAAATTTAGATGATTGCAATTCCAAAGCTTAAAATTTGCCTCACACCCTGAAATTAATGCCATTCTATCGCAACATTCTCACCCCCCCTTCCTTGCCTTTCGTCAGGTTTCCCTGAGAGCTAACCGTAACTCATTTACACTCCAAGGTGGAGCAGAGAACAAGAAAGTACCTTGCTCAAGAACACAACTCAGTTGCTTGGCAGGTCTCGAACCTAACCCTCTAGACCCTGAGTGCGGCCCGCTAACCGTTTAGGCACCAGTCTCCCATCACTATTTTCTTTTTTTAATCATAAATTGCTGTGTATTGAAGGGGTGTATTTAGATTATGTTTTTTTCTCACCCAAGAATCTTCTTCGGAAAGATTCCATTCTCTGGAAGTTTGAATTTCTTTTGGGACGGAACGCTTTCATTGTAACAACTGAATCAGCTCTTCTCCTTCTCCTGTGCTGCATTGTGATGCCATCACTTTCGCTGATGAAGACTTGTGAGACGCATGTTGAGATGTTCACCGTGCTTATGCTACGATTGACCTTCTTAAGACCAGTAGGACTGCTGTCATTCTTGACTTCCTCGTTAGAGGTTCTCACTAAAAAATGGGCAAAAAGAACGGGGCTAAATTTCTTGAAGCATCTTACTACATATTTGGTAAAGTAGTCGCTTCAATGTAAGGTGGTCTTGACAGGATACATATTCTATTCAATTCCTTAACCTTAACTTTTAGTTACAACTCACAGGAGCAATCAATTGTTTTTTATTTCTATCATGCCTCTTCGTTGTTGCTGTTGCTGTTTTGAGCGAGAGAGATCTGCAAAATTTTTGTCTCAAACTTTTGTTCTTCTCAGTGCGTTTCGACCTTGCATCGTTTTAAAATAACGAAGCTATCGAAACTGCTAGTCAGAACAGAGGATACTTTCAAAAGTTATTCGGTGAGAACTCTAGTTAAAAACAAGGAAACAGCTTGACATCGCCAATAACCAAGTTGGTTTAGGTTATGCATCCGATTAATTCACAATGTGGCTCGGCTTCTAAGACCAATCGCAGCTCTTTGTTGAACAAACCCACTGCGGACTCGTATGACAGCCGAACGTATGACAAAGATCAACTTTCGTTCAACAGCAGACGATGTCAAGTGGCCTCTAAGCGTCAGCCACACCAGTGCAGACCCAGATCTAAAATTACCTTCATTGATGGGAGGAAGTAACCGTGGAGAAAGAGTATGCCTGCGACGCATTGGGACTGGGAGGAACGTGGACGCCTCGTCATGATCCTGGATATCAAACCATTGTGCGCCACTACAGAGCAGAGTCGGCGTCATTTTTATCAAACTCTTAAAGAATTCAACACATCAAATTCAGTGCGTCATTAAAGCAAAATGTGTGGAACGTCTGAGAAAGCGATTAAAACTGTGATCTGACTTACTTACGCATCCACTTACTCACCCACTCATTCATTTATTCATTTATCCATTCATTTATTTCATTTATCCCAAATTATTTTTGACACTTAAGAGAGTCAATTTCTCTTGTCAGCCTAACTGAAATCATTTTCGTTTCCGGTGTCCTTACAGGGAATGATCTCAGAATGAGTAGGACTTAAGTAAGATTTAAGTTTGCCGGGGAAATTGCAACTGAAAGTGTTGATGGGCATTTCTGATAATAACTACGTGCACTTGCATTACAAAAAAAAAAAAACACATTGCAACCGATGTTCAGTTCTCAAAAAAAGAAAAAACAAAATGTGTTGCTTCCTAAGTTTTATCATTGTTCAAAAATTAAGAAAATGATATCACCAGTTCCAAGTACCTCTCCAAGAAATATGTTGGTATCTCCCGGAACCTCACTCCAGAGAGTTACCTCCAGAGTTCTTGAGGGAAGCTGGCAAAGAAACAAAAAGTGTAGTGTATTACATTAGGCGTAAATTACGTCGAATTACTCATCATATTTACAGTACTGTTTTGCTCACACGTTTTATCCTAGACTTTTCTTTGACTTTAGCCGAAACTAACTCTGTAATTCTGGAGAAAATTATCGCTGCTATAAATTGAAATCTAAACGTTTTAAATCAGGTAAAAGACCTCGCACCTCACTTTCAGGGATATTTGAAAACACAAAACTGAGATCCCATTTTGGAGTAACCGTCTCTGGGTCAGTATTGGTCCTGAAATGACTAGAGATCCTAAAAAGAAAACCAGCATTCCAATAGTAAACACATCAGCTACTTGGTACTCCAAAAAAAAACGTGTTCCATATATTGTGCGCGTTCCAACTGCGATTCCACCCTAAAGTGATAATGTCTGGGCACCAGTGGGACAGACCAGAGTAAAAACGCTGTAACAGCTATTTTGAAAGTGGTTTGATTTTGGTGTTCAACTAAATCAGTCAATGAAATGTTTGGCCCACGATTTTCCTTCAAAATAATTATAGAGACATGACCAGGGAAAGAGTAGGAAAAGCAGTAAAGAAAAGGAATGAAGAGAAACGAGAGACAGAGGTGGAAGGGAGCATGAAGGAGAGATCGGAGAAAAAGCAACGGGAAGATAACCATAGGTTTTTAATCATCCTCCAACAACACAAAAGATACAAAATGTTTAGTATAAGAGGGGGTTCTGTTGCGTCGTTCAAGTCATAAATATATCAACTTTAACATCCTTACTCTCTGTTGGGTAGTAGATACAGTAGAGCATAGGGATTGATTAACTCCTGGTTTGGCATAAATTGCAATGATAGACCTCTTGCATTCAACACACGCACTGTCATGTTGTTCCCATGGGGATCATGCCATATATGCAGCTGCAACGAAGTATGAAAACAACAGAAATAACATTACATGCATGAAAGTAGAAATACGCTTCAGTTATAGATTAGTCAGGCCCTCTCTGAACTTTGTATATTGTCCCAAAGTAATACACTGTACTTAGAGTATCTCTCTCAAATAAAGAGAGTAAAATAATGTGAATGGTGCAAGCAAACAGTCAGGGGAACTTCAGCATCTACAATCATCTAATTTGTGTTTGATGTATGGAAGGACTGAGGGCAAAATAACTCTCTATCCAGCTCTCCTCGCAAAACTTTCCGAGTTATGGGGGCAAACACTGGTGGATCAAACACTAGAGACACTGCTTTCAGTGTAGGAGACATGTGCTTAGATATGTCTGCATGCGAGATGACGAACCGAAGTTAGACAAAAATTTTTTAAAACGACCTTTCTTTTGTTTTATAGCTATTACTTGACCTAAATTAAGCGTAAGAGAAAGGAAAATGCTGCATACCTGTATTTGTCCGATCTTTCTTTGCCCTTGAGTTTGATTTTCACCCTGTATACAAATAATACATAACCTGTCTTGAAGAATGAGGTCATATCTCTGAAAATAAAGTTATCTCTGGTATTGCAATAATATAAGATACAGACTTGCAATTCCGCCTATGACTGTCACTTAGATCCCTTGAAAACTAGGTTATGAAAGTCTGGACCACTCGGAAGGGTAGGGAATTAGCAGTGTACTTGGTTTGTTGTTTTGCTTCTGCTTGTGACTCCAATTACATGCCGTTAACAAGATCTTACCAGAAGAGGGTTTTAACAAGATCGTATTAGAAGAGGGTCTCGTTGGAGTCAACCAATCGCCGTACAACGGCCAAAAATGTAGCCTTTAGGTGGAAAAATTGACAAATTTTAGCCGATAATCGTGAAAAAGTTAACCGGAGAAAAAACTTTCTGGTGATTGACATTAACTGTTTGCCGTAAGATGGCCAAAATTTTCAACTGTTAGTCTTAAAAGTCGTCATGCCATTGAGACCCTCGTATAAGCTTTAGAGTCGAAAGCGGAATCAAAGGGGGGTGAAAACTTTCTAATTTTTCCGATTCCCATCCCGTGGAGTCTATAACTGCATACAGCTCTGATTTTTTATTTCAAAGGTTTGTCGGCGCTCTGTCGATTTGACGCCACTGAAAATCAGCCTTTACCTTCTGACAAGCTTTTACGAGGGTATCGAGTGATAAATATTCTTACTGATAAATAAAATTTAACTGGAAAATTTAATTTTACGACATAACATATTTTCACTGCTATTGCTCTCGTCCATGATATTCAAGCTATCTTCATTCAAAAAAATATCTAGAATGAGATACAGCAAGTGAACGTGCCTGATGTTACAAACTGAATGAAACATTTTTCAGAATAAAACCAAAGCACAAAGCCAATAAGCAGCTACTTGTGCCTACCTCATCAAAAACGTAATCATCGTCTGTCAGCTGGGCAAGAGACCACCTCGACCAACACTTTATACTGTCTACAACATAGAGATATCCGAACAGATTATTCACTTGACTCCATACTTAGTCATGTACGCGTTCTCCTTTACTTCGATACCGGAGTTTGAAATCGGTAGTTATTCGACAGCCGAACTTGGAATTTACAAACTTAATCACTTTCCTCCACAAAATACAGTCTTGTAAGATTCCTATTTGTAACAGCATACAAGGCGCTGTCACACATGATCTTAGCTTATAAACTGGTTGGCAAGTTTTAAAATTTTCGTGGTTCGATTGCCGGATTAATGCATAAGTCTGTGAAATGGTTATTGGCAAGAGAGGATAAAGTTATTGGTATAAGTTCGAATCCTTAGAAGGGAATCAGAAATGTGTTTGTCTGGCGCTCGGGTCATATATAGGGAGAGAATAATACATGGGCGCGCTTAGATATGAACTCTCTCTTCGAGTGCTTACGAGACAGCGTAGACAACGAGTGAGATGTCGAGTTGAACACGAGAAGAGAAGTTCCATATCTACAAGCAACCACGTATTATTTTGTTTATCATATAAACACAATAGTCCTTCACTGACAAGAAAAGTCGACTTTATTGACGAATGAAAATAAAAGGATCG